CCCCCAATCCCTGCTCTTCTCCAAACCCCACTATTGATCTATGTTTCTGCCCTCCCCCAATCCCTGCTCTTTTCCAAACCCCACTATTGATGTATGTTTCTGCCCCCTCCACCCAATCCCTGCTCTTCTCCAAACCCCACTATTGATGTTTGTTTCTTATATACTTATATTAAACCATTCACTGGGAAAACACTTTATGATAGATTTTGTTGATCTTCATCTTGCTTATTTAATAAATAAAAAAACACCAGACACTGATGTTAAACTGTTCACTGGGAAAACACTTCAGGATAGATTGAGTTGATTTTCAACATGTTTGATTTCATTTTGTCCTTAAATATGATTGGCATTACCTGTTAGTTTGATGTTATTTACACTGTATGGCCCTGTATGTCTTGTTGTGTTGATTGGTCGTCATGAATCCATCATTATTGCTGATATGTTTTGTATTGTTTCAGTGCTAAACCCTGTATGTATTTCAAGAAAGGAGAGGGTGAATGTCCGTTCAACGAAAAGTGCTTTTACCTACATGCAAACGAAGACGGCACAATTGCAACACCAAAACCTCGACAACGACGACGAAGGCAAAATGCAGAAGGAGATATAGACTTGATTTCACAAATGAGTTTATGGGACTTCTTCGAGGAAAGACAGAACAGAGTTCTTTTACTGGAACTAGAATCTGAATTAGATAATTTATTATTAAATCTTAGGTTAAGTGACATTGACAGTGACAGTGACTTTGACGACTTTTGGTGATTCTATATGTATTCTTTGAGAACCCTTCTGGTTTTACCTAGGACTGATTTCTATCCTATACATATATCCTGTATATTATCACAAAGTTCAGATCATTTATCTACCAACCTTTGTTTTTTTAATCATGTTCAGCTTGTGCTAAGAATTAAGTTATGGATGTACTACCTGCGAGATATTTTACAGTTGTCTCCCTTGAAATTATTCTTCAGCTTTATCTCATGAATTCAGGTTTTATGCAGTAGGATCAAAACCTGCATTCTTGTGTAACTCTGAATCAGTTAAGGATCCCAGGACCACTGCCAAAAAATTGAACTATACATTGGAATCTGTTTTTCTGGCATAGCGATAGCATTGATAAATCGTTGTTGAAAAGAAAACCATACCATCCGGTACTTTTATTTAAAAAAAAAAAAGTAAATATGAAATAAACGAAAAAGAATCAACAGTGTTCTCAGGGTAAAACACCAATGGTGCCAGACATGAATTCAAACCTTCAAACAATAAAATCAAGGGGAGGCTACTGTAAGTACAAAAACTATAATAGAACCTCCAGTGTTTTGTCTGTAGTGGGACAGGAATTCTTATGGAGCAAAGTTTAATTACATTTGTAAAGTTTAAATTACATATGTAAAGGAATTTTTACATGTTCCTCAGTAGGACACTCTTTAGGAAAGAAGATGCATATCAGTTAAAGGTAGCATGTACCCTTAAGGTCAGACTTGTTGACCCTCCCCACATTCTTTGTCAGACACAGAAATTGACGATGTGACTGGCAAACTTTAATGCATCTTTGAGCTGAAACATTTAAATCTCCAGCATTTTGACCTGCATGACTCAAAAATGCCAAGTTCTAGAATTTTTAAAACCTGTACAGCATTTTCCTTGGAGAGCAAAGGTTTTTCATTACTCTGCATTTAGTTACATATAGCAGTCAAAAAATTGAATACCAAACAAAGCTGTCAATTGAAAAAAAAAGAAGAGTACCAACTCCTTTTGCCTGGTTGCCAACATGTTTTATAGACACATGTATGTGTGCCCTGACGATGGCCCGCCAAGCAAGCCGAAACATGTCGGCCACCAGCCTCCTGATATATTGAGAGTAGAGGATCTCTCGCATTCCAGTGTATTTTGGGGTTTGGATTTCATTTCATTATAAAAAATAAATGCATAGAGTGTTTCTCAGCAAAGACGCCACTATTATCTAGGTATTAACACTGTTAATGTACAAATGCTCTTTATGTTTACTGGGAAAAAACATAGACCTAACAGTATCTAATTACTGTTGTGGTTGACAGTACCCAGCACTATCAGATTACTGTAGAAAAGGAAATGTTATCACTAAGGCCAGTAAATCAGTAAAATTGTTATTGTTGTAATATAAGGAAGTAATTTTGATTTTTAACCGTTGTCTTTTTGAAATATTTCCTGTTATACTGGTTGTCTGTTTATAATAACAAAGATTTTTACCTCACTGTTACTCTAATATAGTAAGGTTAAACGTTTGAAACTAATGTGAACACATTATTTAGATAAGTAGAAAAATCAACTAAAGCTTATACAATGAATTAATCTGTGGTTTAATGAAATGACATGTTTCTTTATTTATTGTGTATAAAACAGTGCTTGATAAGATAAATTTTTAACCAAAGAAGTCAGATATTTATAACTAGAGATATGTTACTTCAGTCCTGATGAGGATATCTCACCTAAGGCAGTTATTAATTTTTTAATCATGTTCTGTTTATTTGGAAACTCTGATGTTACAATCAAATGAATGTCACCTTCCATTGTGATGTTTTTCCATTTTGTAGTATTAAAATAAAAACAAAAAAATCTTTAACCCTGGCTTCATTGACAAAAACAAAGAAGAAAAGAAGAAAAAAACAACACATTTTGTCGAAGTTAACAGAAGAACGGTTTCTTTGTGACCCTCGTTTTACCGAACACTGTCATATAGGACAGCACAGAGCATTTTTGTTATGGTTTATTGTATTGGTAAATATGTATAGTCAAATTTATCAAACAGCTAAATAATTTTAAAAGCCAGCAGTGAAAAAAGAGATGGTTGGAGTCAAGATTACAATTTATAGTAACTGTACTTGTGAACCTGGATGGTTGTATGATAAAAAGAAAGTCCAAAGTTACGAAGAAAAATTTCAGAGAAAACTAATATGTTCTATTGCAATAATGGAATCCAAGGATTGAAAAAAAAGTCATATCTCTGATATCTAATAAACACTTCTTATGCAAAGTTATGACATGTTTGATTTATTTATTAGCTCACTGGCAAAAATATTGCTGAAATCAATCTCAAGTAGGTCAATGTATACCGGTGACCTGCTTTTAAGACAACAGAGGACAAATATGTTATAAAATGTAAATTAATATATTATAAAGAACTATTAAGTCAAGAACAGGGTTAATTGACCTGCAGATTAATAAGATGGAAGGCTATCGTTCTCGGGTCAGCTGAATGGAAGTTTTAAGGAGTTTAAACTGAATCTCCCCAAAAGTACTTGTGATTAAAAGCGAACTTTCTAATTAAAGTATATTGGACCCCTTATTGTGATTTGACATTATGGTATGGACCTGATAGTGGTTCTCATCGTCTTTTCATGACAATCTGTATGTGAATTTAAAATTATGACTTCTAACTCAGTCGTTTAGAAGATTTGTCCTGTCATGTCCTTGATTTTGACAATAAAGGCCTGATAGTGGCGCACAACATGCTGTCTGGTCCTGACCACAATGCATCCATGTATTGAGCAAGTTTTATATAACATATAATCGTTCATAGGTACACTTTATGGAAAGGTGCGTGATTATTCCTTTGACCTTGAGCTTTGGTCACACAAATCTGAGGGGTAAGCACCAACATACCCTGTCTCCTGCATACACACAAGCAAGCACGCATACACTACACACATGGAGGCACATCCTTAAATGACCTTAATTGTTAATAGGATGTTAAACAAAATTAAACCAAATCAAACCTTACCGAGCAATAAGGGACATTCGTTTTCTATAAAGACCAGGTATTCCAGAAGGGTAAGCGTCTTCTCCTTCACCAATGATGCCTGCAATGTAAATCTAGGTCAAATCCCAGTAATGTCATGTACTCGTATTGAGGACTGGGGTAGTGACAAAACCACAAGGCACTCTAGAGAGCATAATCAAAAACAACCTTCATATCACATAAAGAAAAAAACATGTCCCTGTGTGATCCTGATGACGACCATAACACCTGTCCATAGTCTTCTTCAACCTGCATCTTAGGAAAACCTGTGTTGTCAGTTTGTCCGTCAGAAGTCGACATAAATCATGATAGTCATGATATTTGAAGCAAGCTCTTAAGTACCAAATCAACCGCACACACGTTAACACCGTAGGTAGGGGATGCAGGGATGTTAATATCAAGAAAGGTAAAGTTTACGATCGGAAAATAAAGATCGTCCAGCTTATCATCATACAGCTTAGTAGTAAGCCGTCCTGGTTGGTCATGTTATAAGTAAAGATTTGGGAAAGTGGCTGGAGTTTACAAGTCTGTGATGTCCTTGATTAATTCGGGGGGGTATTTACGATCGACGTGGTTTTAAGTTGTCTGGTTATATAAAAACGGCACATTATCGATATATTTGAATGTGAAATTGAAGAACGTGGCCAAGTTTTTGCTACCAGTCCTAATAAGCTCATCAATGCGTTCAGCTTTGTATGAAAACAAAAGCAAATCGGCCAGCAGAGGAGCACAGTCTATTCCCATGGGAATGCCTATGTACAGTCTGTTCCCATGGGAATGCCTATGTACAGTCTTTTCCCATGGGAATGCCTATGTACAGTCTGTTCCCATGGGAATGCCTATGTACAGTCTTTACCCATGGGAATGCCTATGTACAGTCTGTACACATGGGAATGCCTATGTACAGTCTGTTCCAGTGGGAATGCCTATGTACAGTCTGTTCCCATGGGAATGCCTATGTACAGTCTGTACCCATGGGAATGCATATCTACAGTCTGTTCCCATGGAAATGCATATGTACAGTCTTTACCCATGGGAATGCCTATGTACAGTCTGTACACATGGGAATGCCTATGTACAGTCTGTTCCTTTGGGAATGCCTATGTACAGTCTGTTACAGTGGGAATGCCTATGTACAGTCTGTTCCCATGGGAATGCCTATGTACAGTCTGTTCCCATGGGAATGCCCATGTACAGTCTGTTCCCATGGAAATGCCTATGTACAGTCTGTACCCATGGAAATGCCTATATACAGTCTGTACCCATGGGAATGCCTATGTACAGTCTGTACCCTGTACCCATGGAAATGCCTATGTACAGTCTGTTCCCATGGGAATGTCTATGTACAGTCTGTACCCATGGAAATGCCTATATACAGTCTGTACCCATGGGAATTCCTATGTACAGTCTGTACCCTGTACCCATGGAAATGCCTATGTACAGTCTGTACCCATGGGAATGCCTATGTACAGTCTGAACCCATGGGAATGCCCATGTACAGACTGCTGGAGAATCTACACAGATAATGTTAACCAGGAACTATCATTCTCACAATATCGTCCTCAGCATATTTCATTTTGGCTTTTGTTGTACTTTTAGCAAAATAAGCTCCAAAATAATCTGCAACTATATATCTATATCGCCGTACGCCTTTCTTTGAAAACAAAGTTCGCTTAACAAGAGAACGTAGGCGTTTCTTCAGTTTGGTATGAGGAATGGTAGTGTGATAGGTCAAACATTTTTGAGAAAAGGATGTTCAAGATCGACCAACATGTAAGCGTTTGCTGTTGTCAGATCCGATGGCTTTTTCTTATAAAAGAGAACGTTTTCCTCAAGAATACTTGAAGAACTATATTTAAAGCTAAACAAACGCATACTTCAGTAAACTAAAGTAATACTTGTCCGGCGCGCCACTGGTGTTCAGTTTCTCCTCGTCTCCCATTGCTTTTAGCTGTAGACATAGGTACGGTCCTACGTTCAAGAAGAAATCGCCTCTACTAACAAACATCGCAATCTAATTGTTGTAGAAAGCCATGTTAGTAAAATGGTTCAATAAATTGCTCTTTGCTAGCTTTTCAACCACCCGTAGTCACAGCAAATACATGTATACGTTTACAAAAGGTCCACGTGATATTTCGATATTACTGTTCCATTTCATCCAGACCTTCCCTTCTGATAGCCGAGCTTGGCCACCTGCAACCCGAGTTCACTTCTTTGAGATCAACTCCGGTGTTGCATTGCGCATGGGGGTACCTCTAGGTAAGAACTTTCCTTTTCTTAGGTGTTGATACGAGCGACACTCCGCCGAACAAAAGGTATGGAAGTAAGAAAGAAAACACCATAGATATCAAGTGTTGCAATAGGGGCAGCAGGTCACTTTTGTTTCCTTCAATGTCCCTTGAATAGAAGCCAGAAATGAAAGCCACCAATTCTGCTCAGCTCTAGGTCCTGCATTACCCACAATAGTAGCTAAGTCTGTTCTTCCCCCAAATCTGTTGGAGCTTTCCGTAGCTATAAGAGGGGGTAGTGTGTAGACACTGTGAAGGCACTGCTGATCCTGACGTATGACTAGAAATAAATAAAAAGCTGAAATAAATGCTTTTGCATCCTAGTATACATATATGACAATAATAACTACATCCTTTCGATGTATTTCCCAACAAGTGAAATGCATGTTCATTAGATTTTGTCTTCATGAAGATCATCTACGTATAGGTTAGATGGTATTATGGCAGATCGTCGAGATTCTGCAGGGGGCGGAGCGTGCTTTCAACTGAAGTGTTTTGAGACATGATTTTTAGCTCGCCTATTCGGAGAACAGGGAGCTAATATAAATGTAGTCACCCCGGCGTCGACGTCGTCGTCCCACCTTCTGAGGTTAAAAGTTTTGGGGCAAGTTTTCCCCGTGATACAGTGTTGGATCATGACACTTAATACACAGTTGTCTATTATGAGGTTAAGGCATTTATATCGAGTGTAAGCAATGGACCATATTTTCATGTCTTAGGGGCCAAAAACAGCTTAATTGGACTTGGTTAAAGTTTTAGGGTAAGCTTGAGGTTGAGGTACAGCAAAACCTTTGTTATATTGCCATCATTTGTTCAAAGAAATGTTGGACTTATATATGGGTCGGCAACAAATTGAGGGAAATGTATAAGGAATTCTTAAGAAAAACATAATTAAGGGACCTGAAATATGTTGGCAGTAAGTGAGGTGGCAAATGAAATGATGAGCAGTATATCGAGGTTTTACTGTACAATTGTCTCTTTTTTTCTATGGTCTCTTCAGCCATAAAAACACACTTGTTTCCTTCAAAGTCAGACTCCAATTTAAACCTGTAATATGGTAAATGATGGTTGAACTACAAGACAAGTATACCTATAATTCACTCTTTAAATTCGTTAGTTTTTCAACCACCTCAGACTAAAAAGGAAACAAAACGCTGTTAGACTGCCGTTAGAGGTGACATACATCAAAACCTTCAGTATTTGTTGAACCAGATTGCTGATATTTGGCATTGAGTCCAACATTGATGAAAACACCTTTTTGACTTGCGAGTTTGGCTATAGCGTAATTCTAGCTTTCGTAGGTCAAGACATAATGAATTTGCCGTGGATCCAAAAAGAATGATTTCCCCCTGAAAACCAAGATCGATACATACAAGTATAAAGAAAAAACAACACTTACCTGTATTTTGTACGGCAGTGTTTGCGATCTATTTTCTGTCTGCATTCATTAAATAATGTTTTAAACTTTATTTAACATAGCATACCAATTTGAATCTCCTCGAGGAAAAAGGAAAATAGGAGCATTCTGTTTCAATTAGCAGTGTAAAAAGAGTATCTTTTACAGCTTTATAGTTGCATCGATCGTTAAATTATTTGAATATTGACTTTTCATATTTAGCATATGTGCAAAGCAATGTAAAATGCCGCGGAAAACAAAGTAAAATGAAATATAACTCTAGCGTGATTAAACGAATTTTGACAGAGAATAAATAATTGCACTCCTTACGCTTGCGATAATTATAATACTNCCACGTGCACCCCCACCACATCCTCACCCGGCCCACCCACCGACAAAAAAAAAAGAGGCCGTGGGGCAGTCGACAGGTACTTTACGCAGGTCGGTAGTTTTTCTCCTGGTACTCTGGTTTTCCTGCACCCCCAAAACTTGACATATCCTTTAATGTCTTTCAACAGTACGAAAAACGCAAATAAACACACCTACAAAAAAAAACTCTGTGGTTCATTAAATATTTTAGGAATATCGAAATTACGACGTGAACTTTTACAAATATTTTATTCATTGTTTGTGTATAACCATAGCCCCTGAAATAATGATTAAATCAGGAAATAGATGGAATTATGGATATCTCTGAAATTACGTCAACTTTATCAAACTTCTATGAAAAACGAAGTTATGAACGTGTACCGGCCGGCAACCTCAGTGCCATATGTCACTGTATTTGTGTCACTTGAAGCACCGTCGGACTTAGATAATCTAATTCCGTGCTTGAAGTGACTCCTTGTGATATATATCTGTAATGCGAAGTTGTAAAAACGTTTGTCTGTTCCTATTTGTTCAATTCACAATATGTTTAGCCTAAACCAATTATCTGAATACGACGTGCCCGCAAACTAAACTCGTTTCAGGGGAAGATAATCCATTAGCTGTCCTACCGATAGGTGGTGCTATAACCGGAAGTAAATGCCACGTCCGTTTTGGTGACCGGCTTCGTGATGTGTTAGAAATTACGTTATTAACCGTTCAATTAAAACCTATAAGTACACAAAAAGACCACAGAGAAGTACTCATTTACACTTTCAATCACCATGGTAAGTATGAATCCGATATACTTGCATGATAACCCGCTTCAGGTCGAAACTTCAGCAACTGGTAAAGTTGTATCAAAACAATGTGGCAGACGGGTTTTGTATCCAGATGGTTCAGCCTCCATCCATGCTCCTTGTCACTTCACATTGATTGTTTCCAAATACTAGATTCGTCAATTCTAGACAATGGTGAAATTGGTGCTTTTATGACAAGTGCATGAAATGAATTTGAAACAGCCTGGTTGTTAATTAGTTCAATAATGTTGAATCAAAAGATGCCATGCATACACACTTGTAAACATGGTATCTACGATACTTTTAGTACAAGGTTTTAACAAGCTAATAGTCGGGAATTTGTTAAGTCATTTGGTTATTCAATTAGTAATTATAGCATATCATAAATGATTCTTTGTGATGTATAGTTGATATTGAAGGTATGTAATTTAGAGAAAAAAAACTAAACAAAGTGAATACCATGTCAACTTCTTTTACACATTTTTTCATTCTTATCTATCAATCAAGGTTATGGCTGAAAATGTGTTTCGGATTTTCACGCTCCTCAAACTCCTTTATTACTGGGCCATAATTCTAAATGTGCATTGTAGTAGGCAACTTATATTGAGTCGGTATGCCAATGATACACACTAAATCCTTTCCGGAGATTGTCTCAGAATCCAAACTTTGATGTGTAGATGTGGAATAGGGGTTTTAAATGTTTCAAAGGGGCCAGGGTTACTGAAGTGTTTCTTAAAATAGACAACGGTTATAACACAGGCACTTTGTTGGGGTATTACTGTCCTGAATTCAATGTACTACATGTGATTTTTTTTCTCAATGTTGGGTTGGATTAATTTTAATTATATTGCATTGTGATACAACATTATTGTTATTATTCAGGTTTCCATTTTTGTACATGTATACCTCCCATATCAATAAAGATCCTAGGTTCCTTCCATATATATATATATATATGATCCATTGTCTTTTGCTACACTAGCTTAGTAGAGGCAGATTGAACCTCAGAATCAGACTTTTGAAAAATGAATCACTTTTTCCTTGCAGGTGTCTGTCATTAATTCAGTCGATACAGCTCATGAAGACATGATTGTAAGTATTAACTAACCCTAACTCTGTACAGCTAAAGTATGTTAATTTACATTTCGAACGATTAAGAGTTTTTCTATTTCTGCAAATATCTAGATACGTTTCAATATATGAGAGTGGTATAGAGATATATATTTATTGTGAACATGGAACATGATAGATTGTCACACCAGTATTTATTTGGTTAAGGTTGTAACATATTGACTGCTTAATCTATTTTCAGCATGATGCACAGCTAGATTACTATGGAACAAAACTGGCCACCTGTTCATCAGACCGGACTATAAAGATATTTGATGTTAAGAGCGGACAGCAGACCCTTGTGTCCGAACTGAGAGGGTTGGTATTACAGTGAAACCTTGTTATACTGCCACAATTTGTCCAGCAAAATGCTGGTGTTATAAAGTGATTCAAAGAATGAAATATATAAATGAAATGATTAGAAAGAAAGGAAAAGAGGACTGAGAAATATTGGTGGTACATGTACTGGTATGTGATCTATTCATAAATACAGAAATTGAGATCTGTTTAGTAACATAAAGGTCTCCTTAAGACTTAAGAACTTAATATTTCTTATGATCTTCAGTAGTGCACCACATGCTGGTTTTGTAAGCTATGTATGTTTGTTGTCCAGTGAAAGGGAATGTATATATTTTTGTGTTCTGACAAACCTGCATTTTGTGTGACTTAAAATTACTAATGTATCATTGAACTTCAGATAGAATAATAAGTAAATCAATACACTGTATAACGATATAATATGTAAATGTTTTTAAAGGAAACTCACATGGAACCTGGACCTAAAGGGGTATATGTAGCAGGAATATAATTAAAATAATTGTGTATATAAAAAAATCATTTCTGTGATTTTTGTAAAAATAAAAAAAGTCAAAAAGGAATAGGGATGGTGCTACTTTTCCTATTACAAAAAGGAATAGGGGTGGTGCTACTTTTCCTGTTACAAAAAGGAATAGGGATGGTGCTACTTTTGCTGTTACAAAAAGGAATAGGGATGGTGCTACTTTTCCTGTTACAAAAAGGAATAGGGATGGGGCTACTTTTTCAATAAGGAATAAGAAGGTGCTATTTTTTCGATAAAGAATAGGGAAGATGCTACTTTTTCCTTTTGAATAAGGAATAAGGCCAGTGCTACTTTTTCATCAAATAAAAATCAGGAATAAGGATGGTGTTTTCATTTAATTAAAAAAAGGAATATAAATGGTGCTACTTTTTCCATTTAGCATAAAAGAATAAGTAGTTAACACGACAATCCTTGTTAAGGGAGGACAAGAGGGCTTCCTTTTCTCCTTAACTTATTCCCAGTCTAAATACAGAAACATTGTTAACAAGGTCAGTGAATTAACTGTTTAAGTGTCTCTTTTTCAGTCATGATGGTCCAGTATGGCAGCTTGCCTGGGCACATCCGATGTTTGGTAATCTGCTAGCATCATGTGGGTATGACAAAAAAGTTATTGTATGGAAGGAAACCAATGGAACTTGGGGGAAACTCTACGAATATCCCAATCACGACTCATCAGGTATGTACAGTAGTTGTCTATTAAAAAAACACCTAGTTAGAACAGTTTTGACTTTTTCTTAAGGGCTGTTGGTAATTACAGAAAGGCTGTGTGGAATACCACATTTATCCGACAATAAGCCCATGTCTGGTGATAAGCCCACTCATATCTATCACCGTTCACCAGAGATGCCAAACAATACTACTTCGTTGTCCTGTAATAAACCTCATACCCACTACTTTGAGTAAGATTTTAGATAAATGTGGTAAGGATTGTCCGTAATATTTAGTTTTATTGAAGATTTTAAATTATAAATCACTTCATCACGTGTGTATGTGGTCATAGTCAAAGGGCAGTGTCACACAATCTAGTGAACACGATGAATAAACGTCTAAATATAATTGCACTTGCACCTTGGGAGACTTCCTGTTGTCAACAGATTTAAATCATCACTAGGACTGAACTTCACAAAATATTTTTTTGCTGTTTTTCTTTCAGTGAATTCGGTACAGTTTGCTCCTCATGAGTTTGGCCTTATATTGGCGTGTGGCAGTTCAGATGGATCCATCTCCATTATATCTAGTGCTGGTGAGGAAATTATAATGATGTGTGTTCGGGTCAGACGAAAATGTCAGAATTATGTCCAGTGTGGATGAGTAAATAATGCTGATGGTCAATATTTTTCTGTAATGACTTGGAAAACATGTGTTTAGCAGGTCAGGGATCCTGTGATTATCCCAGAGTGCCTCTTAGGAATAGTGCGCGGCATATTTCATTTAAATAAAATAAAATATTTCATTGAAAAAAGGTTGCGTCAGAATAGACTTGTAGAATTTATTTGCTGTTATGTTTGTCTTCCATCTGAAGTACGTTTACACAGAAAAATAATGCCAGTAGCTTAATAAAGACTCCAAATGACAAGTTCATTTTATTAATGGAAAATTTGTTTATAAAACCCTACTGATAAAAATAGTATGATAAAGGCTACCTTGATTATACTAGAGTCTACAGAATGTAATGTTTGATGAAATATATATTTTTTGTAAATTTTTGATACAAAGACTTTGTGATTTTAGGTGATGGAGCATGGGATGCCAAGAAAATTAACAATGCCCATTCTGTAAGTGAACATCTATGGATGGAAATATCAATGATATGATATAAAAAAAATCAATGATTGATCATTTGATGTTCTTATTCTTAACTTGTGGATTTTTCTTAAAAACATTATTCTTAAAAACATTACTGTGTATAGTTTGTATGTTATTTGAAGGAAAGTAGTGATATGGACATTGTAATCTCTTTGGGAGAAATAATATATGTTCATGTTAATTCACATACTCAGATAAAATATTGTGAAAATGTATTCAGACATAGCTAAGCTATGAACATATTTAGAGCACAATACATGACATGATATAGGTATTTGAAGGTCAATTATCAATATATTTATATACTGCGATAGATTTTCTTTTGTTCATTTTGATCGTATTATAATCATAAAATATTGTGCAAGTAACACATCAATAAAAACCTTTTTATGCTGCCATTCTTTGTCCAGTGAAATTCTGGCATTATAAGCAGGTTTTGTGTTCTATCAACTTGAAGGAACATTAATAAAAGATATTTGAAGATAATTACAGGGAAAAGAGACATTCAAATATGATGGCTGTAAGCAAGGTGGCAAATAAATGAGGGGTATTATATTGAGGATTTACTGTACCGGTACAGATGTGTAGTCTGTAATGCAGACATAAATTACACTGAGCTGGTTTGTTACAGATTGGTTGTAATGCTGTGAGTTGGGCACCATCGATATCTCCCGGAGCTCTGTTGGATCAGTCAGTACGTCAACAGGGTGTCAAACGCATTGCAACCGGGGGATGTGACAACCTTGTCAAGATATGGAGGTAAGCAAACTGTTGTATTAAAAGGAAACTGATATATGTAGGTGGAATTCTAGTTAGGAATATATGAGGGGTACTGAGGCACTTTTATAAGTAATGTATTTTATTATGTTTTGGTGTCTAAAATAATTATTCCGCCCAGTCAAATATTTGCCCTTTTCAGATAAATCCATGTCAGTATTAATTTCACTGCTGCCAAAATGTTCCGGTATATTGAGAATACGTATATTGATGAACTCCTTCTTTCAACACTCAGCACCTCTATGTCTTCTCTCTCTCTGCTCTGTTGCATCCTTGCCATAGTGTATCCCTTGGTGTTTGTTGTAACAATACCCATCTGTTAAGACAATGTCAATCTGTAAACAAATATCGTGTGTAGGGAGGAGGAGGGACAGTGGAAGGAGGATCAGAAGTTAGAAGGACACAGTGACTGGGTGAGAGACGTCGCTTGGGCACCCTCTATAGGTCTACCCAAAAGTATCCTGGCTAGCTGTTCTCAGGTAAGTAGGCGTTATTATGTCCGTGCCACGTACTGGAAGGGGAATTAGGTGTTTTGAGTCTGTCGTTCTGAAGGCTGTGTGCCATCTTGGTTGGACTAAAGTGTTTAGCTGAACTATTCTAATACAAAAACTTCAATCACCATCAATCTTTGTGTGTTGGTGCATCTGTAGATATCTAGAGGAGTACTACACCAGTATATCCAATGTAGCTCACTGTGGCCTATATTTTTGCTTCATTGACCTTGGTTAGACTTCGAGTTGAGCTGCATACCCATTAAAACAGGAGAAGTTTTACAAACATTTCCTAGTTATCATTTACATAAAATCTCATACACTTTTTGTAAAATGTGCTGAGGTCATTAAAAAAAATGTATTTACCGGTAAACATTCCAGTTGAAAATTCTCCTGGTACAAATTCTTGAAAAGGGAAACTTGATTTTGACTTGTGAAGAATAGACTAGTTTCTGGAGGATATATTTATTTTCATGCTTTTTCATTCAATTCCATATATCGGTAAAATAAATGCATTTTGGATGGTAATTACATTTGCTCCATTGTTCGAATTTCAATTATTACTTTTTTTCAGAATAAATCAGATTTTAGACAACATGTCCAGTTTTATTTTCATATTTGTTCATTTTCAATTTAATATTTTAAATAAACAATTTTTTATTTTTTTTATCAGAATAGATTTAAATTGGAAATTGACAAATAGTTTTCTGGTACTTACTTCAGTCTGGTTTACACAGATTCTGGATCCATCCAAGGTCAATTTGGTCAGGTTCCACTGTACAGAAACATCCTTTATGATGTTTATGCAATATTTTCATGATTAGAAAATAACTTTTGAGAGTGGTCAGTAACGAACGAAATTATCATTACAGGATTTCCGTGTCCTTATCTGGACAAATGATGGAACAAGCAATGACTGGACGTCAAAAACACTCAACAAGTTCAACGACGTTGTGTGGCATCTCAGTTGGTCGATTACAGGGAACATTCTGGCTGTGTCAGGAGGAGACAATAAGGTAAGGATGGTGTTATATATTAGACTGTAATACACCAACATATATAATTCTATACAGATCATAATATCTACGGTAGTGTCTCAAGGAACACTTGAATGATGTCACAAATTCATGGCAAAGGCAAAGTGACAATGTATTCATGATACGTATAATTTTACACGCCTTGGTTGAGGGTAAGATAAAAATGCTTTAAAATAAATCTTGAATTAACAAGTTAATATTGTAGATACTCTTATTACTGCTGCTTAGTTTTAGGCAGGACCAAAATTTGTTATATTTTGAAGAAGAAAAAATGCAACTCTTCTGTTTGTCTTTCTTATCTTTTGCATCGCATTGTATTTAAAATGGCTGATTATTTCATCAGGTAAGCTTATGGAAGGAGACACTAGAAGGACAGTGGGTGTGCATCAGTGATGTTACCAAAGGCCAAGGTCAAGTCACGGAAAGTCAGAAGGGCTCCTCAAGTTGATACGTAACCATAGCGATCCAGTAACTATCTTAGACTGTGTCAGGGACCATGTGTGTAGCGAATCACGCCCAATATATAAAACACCTGACTGACTGGTGCAAACACCGAGCAGACGGTCACGAAACATTATGCCGAAATAAATTTTGCAAAATGTTCATAAAAAAGACTTTGACAAGGGAAGATTCTGTACATATGAGACTGGTCCATAGTGTGAACATCTAGAGGAGACCTTGACAGTGCAGCAGTGTGCGTTTATAAGGAATGTTTGTTAGTCCATCGTCAGTAAGTGTAGCTATGCCGACGGGAGACTAGGTGCTGCTATTTATAGTATCTAGCCACACATTCTGAAGGCTGTTCACCTAAAACAGCATACAGAGAAATACAAAATTCATGTAAGACCACATGTTTCAAATTTTGAGAAGGTTGTCGCTTATTGATTCATAATTAACGTGGAGGAATTGTGCCAAAATGCAGAATTTTCATCAATTACAAAAACGACAATATTATAAGTTCAAATACCTGTGAACGATTTTTAAGACGAGGCTTTACAATCCGATTATGAAGTGTCAGAGGAATACAGTTCTTGTGGTCAAGTTCTCAAACTTGGTATCCAGTTATTATAAAGCACTTTTGTTTTCACAGGCGTATGTTTAACAGATGTTGTACCTTGGTCACATTCATGTGTTTACTGGTACATGTACTACTTCTGACTGAAAAAAAAAAATCTCATTTGCAAACCATTCGTTGGAGATAAGATTTTATGGATATTTCGGTTTCCAGACTAAGTATTGAGAAAATATAACCCTCTGGAAATTAAAGTGCTTCATTTGTATGACAGATCTATATTATACGATAGATGTGTTCTTGTATGGTTATGTGAATATTTGATGAGGCTACGATTACATCCTCTGCTATGAATGGCTGTTTGGTGGGGGTTCATGACCTCCAAAGCGTTATCTTCTTTTGTATTTGCTTTGCATAAAATCATGTTACTGTTTCATACTAAATTAGTAATATTTACCAAGTCTAAAAACAATTTTTAAAGAGCTCATATCTCTATTTATTGATTTGATTGTACAGAATTTGAATTTTTACTGCAGCAGATAGAGACCTGAAACTGTCAATGTTATGTCAGTTGGTAAATGATTTGTTTTCATATTGATTTCATACCAGATCTCAGAAATTATTTGTTGATTTCATTTTGGTTATAGAATGAAAGATATATAGTAATACTGTCACTATGGAGACAAAATTTAACTTCATTCAGAAAGATTTGCTTTAATTGCTGTGGTAGACCAAAGATAATTTCAAAATATCCTAATGTACAAGATGTATGTGAAATTACGGACAAAACCACTTCTGCTAACTTTTCTCTTGGTTCTTACACAGCAGGTTTTTGAGATATTTATTGATTTGGTAGATAATACTTAAGCTGCCTGCATATTAATTTGGTAACAATTTGTTGACTTGTGTGAAAATGTAGTTCTGTATATAGAGATATTTTGGTTGTGATTTTGTAAAATTTTGATTGTAAGGGAACATTAAATACACTATTGCAGTGTACAGGTTTTCATGAATATTGATGAATTTGTTTATTCTATCATGAATATTCATGAATTTGAAATCATGTACTTACTCTATAAACTGTACTGGTAAGCTAAAACCTGTGTTGTAAGTGGAGTTTTTCTGATTGAATGAAGGAAATAACTACCAAGATATCCCTGTGTACATTATGTATGGATGTGAGTGTGTAATGAGAACTAAGATACCAGAGCCACAGTACATAATGTATGTGGAGGTGTAAATACAATGTTTGAATGACTAAATCAGTGTTATTGTTGTATCTTATAAACACATCCTCAGCGTCACACTACTCTGTAGGTACCTCTGTATCACAGGACTGGAGTAGGCTGAACACATCTTCAGGGTGACACTACTCTGTTGGCTGGGTACCTCTGTATCGCAGGACTGGAGTAGACTGGACACATCCTCAGGGTCACGCTACTCTGTAGGTACCTCTGTATCACAGGTCTGGAGTAGACTGGACACATCCTCAGCGTCACACTCCTCTGTAGGTACCTCTGTATCACAGAACTGGAGTAGACTGGACACATCCTCAGCGTCACACTTCTCTGTAGGTATATAGGTACCTCTATATCACAGGACTGGAGTAGACTGGACTCATCCTTAGCGTCACACTACTCTGTAGGTACCTCTTTATCGCAGGACTGGAGTAGACTGGACGCATCCTCAGCGTCACACTACTCTGTAGGTATATAGGTCCCTCTATATCACAGGACTGGAGTAGACTGGACACATCATCAGTGTCATACTACTCAGTAGGTACCTCTGTATCACAGGACTGGAGAAGACTGGACACAGCCTCAGTGTCACACTACTCTGTAGGTACCTCTGTATTACAGGACTGGAGTAGACTGGACACATCCTTAGCGTCACACTACTCTGTAGGTACCTCTTTATCGCAGGACTGGAGTAGACTGGACGCATCCTCAGCGTCACACTACTCTGTAGGTATATAGGTCCCTCTATATCACAGGACTGGAGTAGACTGGACTCATCCTTAGCGTCACACTACTCTGTAGGTACCTCTTTATCGCAGGACTGGAGTAGACTGGACGCATCCTCAGCGTCACACTACTCTGTAGGTCCCTCTGTATCACAGGACTGGAGTAGACTGAACACATCCTCAGCGTCACACTACTCTGTAGGTCCCTCTGTATCACAGGACTGGAGTAGACTGAACACATCCTCAGGGACACACTACTCTGTAGGTATCTCTGTATCACAATACTGGAGTAGACTGGACACATCCTCAGCGTCACACTACTCTGTAGGTATATAGGTACCTCTATATCACAGGACTGGAGTAGACTGGACACATCCTTAGCGTCACACTACTCTGTAGGTACCTCTTTATCGCAGGACTGGAGTAGACTGGACACATCCTCAGCGTCACACTACTCTGTAGGTACCTCTGTATCACAGGACTGGAGTAGACTGGATACATCCTCAGCGTCACACTACTCTGTAGGTACCTCTTTATCGCAGGACTGGAGTAGACTGGACGCATCCTCAGCGTCACACTACTCTGTAGGTACCTCTGTATTACAGGACTGGAGTAGACTGGACACATCCTTAGCGTCACACTACTCTGTAGGTACCTCTTTATCGCAGGACTGGAGTCGACTGGACACATCCTCAGCGTCACACTACTCTGTAGGTAACTCTGTATCACAGGACTGGAGTAGACTGGACACATCCCCAGCGTCACACTACTCAGTAGGTACCTCTGTATCACAGGACTGGAGTAGACTGGATACATCCTCAGCGTCACACTACTCTGTAGGTAACTCTGTATCACAGGACTGGAGTAGACTGAACACATCCTCAGCTTCACACTACTCTGTAGGTACCTCTGTATCACAGGACTGGAGTAGACTGGACACATCCCCAGCGTCACACTACTCTGTAGGCTGGGTACCTCTGCATCACAGGACTGGAGTATTACTAGACTGAACATTTTCACACTTGTTACCGGTACTTGAAATAAGAATAAATAGTCACTATTTCCTTCCATACATACGTTTCAGAGATTATCAGATAATCCAGAAGTCAATTTTTATTTCCACTACATTTAAATTTACATTTACGGCGATACTGCAAAGGGCTGTTGAACAGCATCAACTTGCAGGTAGACTTGTGTGGCTTCCACATAAGTTCATTAAAAACAGGTTAAAAAGTTAAAACTATTTACAGGATCCACATTCACTCTGCAAGATGACTGTGGAGCGAGGTCTTAAATGCCTCCACAGTCAGCTGCTCGACAACCTCTGATGGTAGTCCATTCCATTCCATGATGGTGTTTGGAAAGAAGCTGTATTTGTAGGTGTCGGTGTTGCATCGTATGTTAATATAGCCGTGGTTATGTTGTCTCCTTCCACTTCTGGCGTTACTACTGATATATGGTGGTATGATCAGTGCGTTGGTGTTGTGGATGCCTTTGTAGAGGTTGGTTAGATGACTTTCCTTCCATCTCTGCTGTAGGGGTGGCCATGGCAGTGTAGCTCGATCAACATCCCCGTTACACTACTGTAACGCGAGTAATCGCCGGTTGTGAATCGAGCTGCTCGTCGCTGGACTCTTTCTATTGACTTCTGTTGGTATTTCTTATGTGGATCCCTAACTGAAGCTCCACTAAGGGGGGAATATTTTGTCAAAATAATTTGGTGGTATTTGGTAGAAATCTTTTTCGTTAGCAATATATGAAACCACATGTCAAGGACAATTAAACTTGTACTAACACAAAGTTCCAGAGGGAGACCCACAAAGATCGCAAGCTCCAGTCTCATCAATTAGAACTTTTTATTATGAAATGTTTACATATAAAGGTATATTTGATTTAATCTAAATGACCTTTACCTTCCACTGCGACCTTAACCTTATACCATGAACATTTCACATAAATCCCAACAACATGACTTCATTATCTTATAATGCAATGTTCACTGTTGAGAGGATATGGGGGGTCGGGGTTGAGTCTGTGACCTTGACCATGTAATAAAGTGATAGTACAAAGAAAACTGTTTACAGGCACCTGCCTGACATACCAGGGATGAAAGGCAATCTGATGATGGTCAAAAACACATTGTATGATCCTTTCTGACACATCAGGACTGATGGTAGATGATACTTGGTGCCCTACTGTATCACCATATTACAGAGAGAGGACCATGTGGAAGATTAGCCCATTGCTAAACATGTATTTATCCTCAATTTTTTAAAGAATGTCTAAAAAGAAAGAAAGATGGCCACTGTCACTTTTGATTGGCTCAAATACACTTTGCTACTGTGTTCTTATTGGACAGTCTTCATGGTGAGTAACAACATGTGAAACTGGATCCCATAATCCAACATGGCTGTCTCTGATTTTAACTTTTTGCTGAGACCTTTCAGGCTACAATATTTGGTCTATTGGGCTGATTTTGTTACTTGTTGGCAAATGTGTGCTCGTCAAACTACCTATGCACGGTAGTCTAGTGGTAGGACGCTGGGCTCGTGACCAAAGGGTTGCGGGTTCAAGTCACGTCACAGCACTGTGTTGTATTTTTGAGCAAGATACTTTACCCCGCTTGTTCCAGTCTACTCAGCTGTAAATGAGTACATGGTTGGGCATTGCTACAATTATTGAATGCTAGCTGTGAGCACCAAAATAGCAGCACAGACTGTATGCTCCCCGGGGAGTTGAGAAAGATATTGGCTGGTTGCAAAGGCCCAATAACCATGGATGATAATTTGTGAACTGCTTTGAGACGACCTACAAACTAGATTGTGATAAAGCTGTATACAAGAACCTCAAATTATTATTATTATCATGGAAGTTTCACTAAACTACCTAGATCCCAAAGTCCCACGATCACTGCAGTACCTGCTGGGTGATCACAAAGATTATGCATGGTCAGGACTTTCCCTAATATGCATGGTCAGGGCTTTCCCCAAGTGTTTTGCTCCTGAAAATTGGCTTTGACTCTTGGGTTGGAAAGGAAATGTCTATTTGATATTTTGATGCTTCAGATTTCAGGGAGAAGGTGATTTGACTTTTTACATGTTATGGGTCAACTGAAAGCCCTGCCAGTAATAGAATCTTCCCCTACCTTGAGGGTGTGACAGAGAAATCTCCAATTGAGGCTTTGCCGAGGGCAAGACATTCAAGAATATCATCCCGAGTGTTGAAGATTTCTCCGTCACAACCTCAAGGTAGGGGACGATTGTTTTTCTCCCATCCTGTTTCACTCACAAATCCGCCGACAAGCGGTGAGTGCATGAAATATAAGCGTTGATCGCATGTTTTTACAGCAAATCCAGAGTTGTCTTCCATGGTCTGTTACTGTTGACGTGCCATCAATGCATTGATTATGTGACGTCATGCTATTGTGATGACTTGGATCGCACCATTCTGCACCAGGCTTTCTCCCTCTAGGGGATGACAAGCTGATCTTTTCCGGCTTAAAAGAGACACACCTATCAGTAACATTAAATAAAGAAAAGAAGGCATATGTTGAAGAGTTAGTTTATTTGTACACATAACTTTGCACCATAACAATGAAAACAGCGAATATTGCACAATTATATGTATATATTATATGTACGATGAATAATTACGATGAATTTGCATAATTTTGTAGTAGTAAACAAAGTCAACCCAGCACTGTTTTCCGTAATTTTCACAATTCTTTTTTCAATTTATTCCCAAAACAAGTCCAATATGAACATCAAAAGTAACATTAGTATCGGAATGTTTCCTCCGGAGTGAATCCTCAACCCTTTCAACCCCAGAGTAGACTCTGCCATGCATTGATATGGACGAGTCCATTGTGGTCTACAGCGATGAAAGGGTGAATGATATCGCAGCTGCTTACAATATGTCGGACCAAATAAAACTTTGGGTGGAAAGTGCAATTTCGGAACCGAAAATCTTGCTTGCTTATATTTCTTGTCTTAATTTATGTACCATACAAACGTTTCACAGATTTCTCTATAACCAACTGCCACATTTGATATTTTATTTAGGCGACGTAATAATAACTAAACAACTAAGAAATTTCAGAAGAGTTTCAAATCATTTGAGATCTTCGGCACATAAACATATATATCTCCCATTTTTCAGAATGATTGTGATCCTGTACAGGTGTACGTTATATTGTGACAACACTGTAACTACTTTGTGCCACACACGTGCTATTCTATTCAGTTACAAGTGCATAAAGAAATAAAATTGTCAACATTTGTTAATTATGTTAATCATGGGGAAATTACGCAATAAATTAATAAAGAATCTAACATTGGGATTAAAATGTAATCTCATATAATCATCAACATGTATTTGGATTTCATTTGTAGAAGTAAAAAATATCAATAAATAAAAATATAATGTGAAACAACCATTAGTAAACAGAAAAAAAATAAAACATGCTGTAACAAGAAATATAAATGCTGCTCGCTATTAATGCCAATTAAAATCTTAAGCAAAAATGTCCAAAAATGCAATATTAGTCAAAATCTGTGTGCAACAACATAACAGAGAATCGAAGCATTGAGAAACCTTTTGTTTGCGTAATTGTTCAATAAATGCACAGGTGTAGTTTCATATGAATGATTTTTTTAATGGAGATGAGAACTTCAATATAGTCATACAGTTATTGAAATTAATTTACAAACATTTGAGGAATGTAACTACATGTATCAACAATTTTGCGCACACTGGCACACAGAGTGTACAGAATTTAGAAGACGAAATTAAGATCACTGCAAGAATTAACCTACAACATAACCCTGTATCTCCCTAAAAGTCACCGTGAAGCTTTCATTCTCCTCAAAAGATCATTCCTCTTGGTCCATACACTTAAATTATACTCTATATTTATATAGTAATACAATTAAAATTATAAAAAAACAGAATAGGCTGAAAGAACGCTCTTTGCCATTTAACGGAATATAACACATTAAATATACAACAAATTATAGCATATTTGTTCAGCAATTCAATATACATGTAAATAAATACTGGCTATAAACAGAATAAACATGTATTTATTTATACAATTAACAAGAGATCCAAAGGACCTGTATTGCTAGCTATGTTTTCTAAATACGATCTAAGTGATCGTAGTAAATATAGAATTTTTTTTAAATGCTTTGATTAAAATTATAAAAAAAAAAGTTAACTCCGACAGACACAGCCATTAGATGAGCTCACATGATTCTTAAATGTCAAGTACATGTTTTTGTTTTATAATAAACGAAAATAAATAAAACATATACCTTATAATAATGGAATGTATTTCTTTCTATGTGTAACACATTTCTTGTAAAGCTATAAGATGAATATAACAATATTCAAATATCAAATTATCTATCGTCAAACAAGTATGTAGGTACCTTGTGAAAATGTGATCAATCTTATATCAATATTATATGAAATGCTCAACGATAGGAGATGAATTCCAGCATTTTGTGTTAGGTACAAGTGTTGTCCTAGTTCATTTCACCTACAAGTTAGTGGGATGTGTTTCACTTTCGTACTATAGCTACATAATGTCTCCTGAAATTCAACTTTGTTTTTCTCTCTCACAGATTTTCCTAAAGAATACCAAAAATCGTGAAAGTTGCATTTCCTACGCATGTTCAATTGTTTATGAAAAAAGATAAATGAATAGAAAAATCTTTACATTTAAATGTATATTTTCCTACCATCTCTATCAGAGGGTTTTCTTTCATTTACATCAAAAGCAAAATGTCAGTTTATATAAACATGTACAACACAACTTTTCCTATCAGAACATTTTTATTCTTTAAAAAGATCATGAAAAATTAAAACCAGATCTATTCAATTTTGGACAGATTTTATACAAAGATCACAATATACTGGATACGCAACTCAAATCTGAAACCTGCACACAACTAATCAACAGCGTTGCTATAGGTCTGCAGTTCTCACTAATCAGCCTTTGTTCTAGGATCACACCAGCCAATCTTTTAATCTGACAATCCAGCTGATCACCAGTTAATTGGAAAAAAATCCTGGAAAGTGGTTGATCAGCAGATCCACTGCAATGTAGCATATCATATATCACATACTTCTATTTGTGCATCAGTGTGTGGAATGTCTGTCGGCCAGCATGCAACCAGGAATGACAAAATTACATTATAAATACAGGAATGAGGTTGTAAACAATATGCCCTTCCTTTTACAACCTGTTGTTTCTATTACAGTAACAAAGAGAATATAGAAACTGTTGGAAGAATTACCAGGTATGTCTACTACGTAAGGAAAGACGATCATTATACTTAGTACAGAAACTGCCGTCTTGTCTAGCTCGGCTGATTTCACTGTGTGAACCAGATGCGGCTAGTAATGACTGTGTTTTGTAAATACTTACATAAAGAAATAGCATCTAGACTACCAGTAACATAATTAGACACTGTATCATGCAACTTCTTCTTCATTGGATGTACTCCAGCATAAAATGGAACACAAGATTTCACTGGTCTTGCTGCGAAATTGGCTACCAGGGTTGTTGCGGTTTTTTACACCCAGAAAAAATACTTCTCAAGAGAGTGGCTGCCCGAGAGAATGGTGTAGACTTTATCTGTCTACAACTATATACAGCAGCCCTTGCCCTGGGTGTATCCTAGCCCACACAGATTCTAACTTTCCGGTTGACTAAGAATGGATTTGTTGGCAGAGAATTCATATCATAATAATACATGTCATTGATATCAACACATTTAAATTACGGTATAACATTTTCATGTAAAACATAAACTTGTTCTCAGAGAACTCATTCTACAAAGCTCAAATACCATTCACGAAGTGTAAATCATCGCTTGATGTAACTCCATGGCCAAATTTCTACAGTGAAAGTGACTAAACCTCAAACACTCTACCACAAAAATGACAAAACGTCATGATCACAAAGTCTACTCTACTGTTAATACAGCCCCTCACACTCAATTACTTATCTCATAGAGGAAATTCATTCCAATCTGACATCCAGGTTCGTCCAAAATAAATCAGAAGATCCGTTTTGTGGTTATTTTTTTATTCTCTAGCTAGTGCAAAAGAATCTCATGATTTTTTTTTTTTTAAAGAATTTCATCATCATATGTATTTTGGTCCTTCTGATTATATGATCATGAAATATAGCAATATAATATTTATTCTCTCAAAATTTTCCAGTATGTATATTCACACATTTAAAACTCTATTTCATGTCACATTGGATTGAAACTTCGACTTGAGTGTAAGTATCGAGATAGTGGAGACTGCCTGCTAGTTTATGTACATAATGTATCTGTAAGTCGACTCAATGCTATGTTATCTACACACACCCAGTAATACATATTTACACGTGCAGGGCCGATGACAACATGGGAGATGAACTATTAATGTACATTACTTCACACATACATTATTTCACATGATATTATTTTAGAATAAATTTGCAATAACCATTGAATACGATTTCAGGTGTCACATGAACAATTGTTTTTACGTAACGGAAGACATACACGCTAAGTGAAATGCAAATTTATGTCCTCGCAAGCATTTATGGAAAGATAATGAAATCAAGCGTGTGTGAGAAACTTGTAATTCAATACACATCAGAATTTACTGGCTGATTAATTTGCCTCTACTGATAAATGTATGATGAAGCATGAAAAGGTTAGGACCAGTATCAGTAGAAGTATTATAACAAATACTCCGAGATCCATTCTAGAAGACAGGAATAAATGCATGTCTAATATCAAGTTATAATCCATTTTTAAAAGAGAGAGAGAGATTAAAAAAAATCCTTTATAGATGTAACATTTATAGAATAATATGATTTTAACATGGTTAACTCCAGTCTCTCAAGACATTGAATGAACTCTCATAGAATAATACCATTTTATCATTCTAAACATTTGTCTGACTTTGATCTTTCAAGACATCTGCTGAACTCTCATAGAATGATACCAATCTATAATTCGAAACATTTGTCATTTTGATCTCTCCAGACTTTGCTCAACTTGATTCAATATCACACATGTAAGAGACAGGACTCGTAGTCTTTAGATCACTAACATCACCGAGTCTACCTCAAGGAAACAGATTTTTGAGAACTACCTACATAAGTATAATTATAGACTTCTATACAGGTTTATGTAACTATTATCATAAAAATCCTTTTATAATTTCTTATAGAAAACAATTCGACAATGTAAAAACAACTGTATGTAAGCAGAAACAACTTCACAAATCTATATTTTGCTCAAAAGTAAAGCCCTGCAGAGAAGCAGTATTTGATATCAGTGATAAAATTCAATTGAACTACGCACACATACATAACTACAGATAATGGCAAGTTTTACTTTATCTGAGATTCCAATACAGGGTCATTTCCTGTCGACCTTTAGACATTTCTTCCTCACAAACAAAACGTTTTGTTCCCTTATTGCCGTATTTATGGATAACTGGGAATACAGTTTGTTCTTCAACACTTCAACTTCTGGTTACTTCAACAGAGCAATGTGGATGAAACAGGTTCATCATCTCATGGAGCCTATTGAATGTTTACTTCGCAGAGATGAACTGGAGATATCTCTAGTTATTTGTACTACAGTGTATATATGTAAACAGCCAGGGGAGATAACAACATGGCTTCAGTAATACCTCAACACACTGTGATCATTATTATTATATATCTGTACAGCTCAGCCTTACCGGTATTTAGTCTGTCCTGTATATCATTACCTCAACCATCTGAACATTTCATATCCTGACCCTTCCCAAACTGTGACCTCTTTCTGATCTCTAAATAACCTATTTCTGACTTTTGACACCTTCCCGAATTGCGACACTTATTTGAACTGTGACCTATTTCGGACCTGTAAGTTCTTTCTGACCTGTGACCTCTTTCTGACCTATGATCCTTCTTTGACGACACATGTATTAAAAACCTCTCTGACTGTGACTGTATCTAACAAACCACACCAAGCCCTAGCTAGTAAGTATAGCTGTTGCCTAACATTACTGTTATACATGACAAGCCTACTTGATAACATTTTTGAGAGGATCCACACCCCATTTTTTATGCAATGCCTATTTTAGTGAATATCATCTTAACTAGACCTCATCTCTTTTGCATAGCAATGCCGGTTGTTAACAATGACCAGCCATATTCTGCTGATTAGACTACACCCATTTTACAAAGACGCTCAACTGACCACACCCCTTATGGGGCAATGCCTCTTTCACATAGACACACCTATTTGATCAGATACCCTTATTAGTTACTACTGTTTTAACAGACACACCAACTTGATCACACTCTATGTTCTCACCTAGTAGTCAGACTCCTCCCCACTTGACCACACCCCCTACGTTCTCATCTATCGTCTAGTAGTCAGACTCCTCCCCACTTGACCACACCCCCTACATTCTCGTCTAGTAGTCAGACTCCTCCTCACTTGCGTTGCTAGCGTTACTGCTGCCTGCCCCGCCCCCTAGGAAGCGAGCGGTACGACTGTTTTCTGGCTGAGTGACGGACTGAGTGGCTTCCTCCACCTGTAAAATACAAAGAAAATTACAGTCAACAAGTACTAAGCAACAATTAACATTCTGGGATTTTCTCCAAATTGTCATCTTTTTTAACTTCCATTATGAAGGTGAATTTACCTTGCTACAAGAAATTCACAATGCGATGGTTAACATTAAGTTAACCTATGGTTGTCTACAAAATGTTTGTAAATCATTCAAACTTGTTTCTATGGAAATGGAGATAAACATTAAGTCAAGGCAAAGCCAATGAAGCAGAAAATGTAGGTCACTGTGACCATTATCTGCGGTAATATTGTTGTGTTTCTTAAGATTTATCTACCTATGAATTTACATGGCTGTTACATTTCTAATATCAAAGTTATGGAGCTCAATGAAAATCCAACCAAGATGTTGTACAGACAGATGGACAGGTGGACGTGTGTTTGATTAGTTTAAAATGCACAAAAAAGTAAAAATGTGAAGGCCTCCAGTTTTGTGTCAGTGTTAAATTAGCCAAACAATAATAGTCCGATCTTTTACACTGCTACTTTTTATCATCAGTCTTTGAACTAGATATTACGATAATTTCTTAAATAAATATCTCGAAATTTACTTGGTGAATTTACCTGTAACCTACTACACACGGTCTGGTAAGTCTTGGTAATCAATGTATGATATTAATACACCTGTTTATTTACCTGTAATCTACTACACACTGTCTGGTACATAATACACCTGTATATTTACCTGTAATCTACTACACACTGTCTGGTACATAATACACCTGTATATAACTTACCTGTAATCTACTACACACTGTCTGGTACATAATACACCTGTATATAACTTACCTGTAATCTACTACACACGGTCTGGTAAATCTTGGTATTCAGAGTGCTTTCTGGTACACATTGTAACTCAAAGTCAGAAAAACATTTCTGTAAAAAAAGAAAAAGAAACAATCATGTTATTCCATCGGTACAGTGTCAGTGACGGAGTATACCAGTGTCAGTGACGAAGTATACCAGTGTCAATGACGGAGTATACCAGTGTCAGTGACGAAGTATACCAGTGTCAGTGACGAAGTATACCGGTGTCAGTGACGGAATATACCGGTGTCAGTGACGGAGTATACCGGTGTCAGTGACGGAGTATACCAGTGTCAGTGACGGAGTATACCAGTGTCAGTGACGGAGTATACCAGTGTCAGTGACGGAGTATACCGGTGTCAGTGACAGAGTATACCAGTGTCAGTGACAGAGTATACCGGTGTCAGTGATGGAGTATACCAGTGTCAGTGACGGAGTATACCGGTGTCAGTGACGGAGTATACCAGTGTCAGTGATGGAGTATACCAGTGTCAGTGACAGAGTATACCAGTGTCAGTGACGGAGTATACCAGTGTCAGTGACGGAGTATACCAATGTTCTTCAACAGTTAAGGACAGAGCATAACTACATTCCTGTGCCAAATGAACCTATCAAAATATTGTTATCATTATATTTGTATACACGAGATGTATTACGCGACAACCATATTACGCAGTATCATTGAGCCACGTATCAGTCAATGTCCTACCCTATTGATGGTCATCACACAGGTCAGCTGGTACACATGGAGGGAGAGGTCAAGCCGGTCAGTCAGCCAATCACAGATCATCTTCATCTGACCCGTATACCATTGCTGTGGAGAAAACAATCATAATCATCATTAAACTTGTTAAAATATAGATTCCTAATTATCATTACCATAGAAAGACGTACAGACATCGTAAAAGTTTTTCTTACAGTACACCACCTTAGTTCTATGCAGTGTTATTGTCACGTTATGTGGTAATGTAGCCAAGGGTTGATATAGGTTGCTATAGATTGAGGGTTGATATAGATTGACAGTTGATATGGGTTAAGGGTTGATATGCGTTGAGGGTTGATATGGGTTGAGAGTTGATATGGGTTGAGGGCCAATATAGGTTGACTGCTGATATAGATTGACTGTCGATATATGTCTATGGTTGATATAGATCGAGGGTTGATATAGGTTGACAGGTGATATAGATTGTGGGTTGATATAGATTGACAGGTGATATAGATTGAGGGTTGATATAGATTGACAGGTGATATGGGTTAAGGGTTGATATGCGTTGAGGGTTGATATGGGTTGAGAGTTGATATGGGTTGAGGGCCAATATAGGTTGACTGCTGATATAGATCGAGGGTCGATATATGTCTATGGTCGATATAGACTGAGGGTTGAAATGGGTTGACGGGTTATATAGATTGAGAGTTTATGAGGGTTGATATGGGTCGAGGGCCGATATATGTCTACGGTTGATATAGACCGATAGTTGATATGGGTCTACATCCTGTTGTCATTTAATATTCAGATTATGTCACCAAGATACTGTCACTCAATTCTTCGCAAAATCCTGAGGCGATCACCAAATCTAAACCTTGTTGAACAGTTTATGGAGTTGTATAATGTGTTACCTCAAAAATTGACAGGGTGAACAGTTCATCAGCGATCTTTTGTCGAAGCTGTTCAAGATTGGCCCTCATGAAGTCTACATAGGACTTCCCTAATTCATTCACCGGTTTCTGAAAAGGAGATAAAAATAAGCATTGACTGACCATTAAATATATATATACATTGTATAAAGAAAGAACGGTACTGTGTGCAAATTAATTCAAAAGCAAATATAATTCAAAATTCTTCAAATTTTAAAAGTGACAAGTTCTATTAATTGCCGACTTACCGTGAGAGACAGAATGGAAGAGAAAAACGTGCCCTCATCGTATCTCGCCAACTTAGCAAACACTGACTCCATCACCTGTAGAAACTGTTAAATCAACAGCGTTAGACTGTGTGTATACCACCATGAAACTTCTACAAATGTAACACTGGGCAGTGAAATCCTCTCTTGCCAAATACAATCATGGCTAATTTCAGAGATGCTGAGCAAAATTTAATTTTCTGTTGTTATGTAAATTGGTGATCAAATCAATATATGTACAATCAAGGAAACAGATACATATATATAACAGTTGAACTATGTATCTTACAACTACCTTAAATTTATGTTTTAATACATTTATAATTTAAAAAAAAAAAAACTAAAAAAGGATGTCTTTATATATTCCTTCCTAAAAAAATCAATTTATATGTTATTTCTATCATGTAATGTCTTACTTATTTTTTCAATGTTGAAAATTCAATAAAGGTGTATTTTTGAGATCTTTATTAATATTGTAATGAATCTAGAAAAAAAGAGAGAATAATGTCAAACCTTTTCAATGAGACATTTAACCATCTGCATTTGTACACGGTCCAGAAACTCTTCAATCTTGGTGTGGTACTGGTGCTACAAGGAAAGTCAGGAATGTCAAGATTTGATAACAATTCTCAATTTTGATTTCAAGGTGTGACACTGATCTGCTTCCCAGGTCCTGTCGAGGTACAGAGTACGGCCACAGTACACTGAATGATTTATTTAGATCAAAATAACTTTCAAAATATTACGATTGTTAATGAATATAATATAAGATGTAACCGCTGCCTGATGGATACATATATACATTTTGCTATGCAGCTGTACAATGTCATTCTAAATGGTATATTGGTAGATTACAAAGTGCATTCATACAACCCTTTCACCACTGTAGACCATAATGGACTCATCCATATCAATGCATGGCAGGGTCTACTAAAGTTACATAGGGGTGAAAGGGTTAAGTATTAACTTTTGAGATACCAAAAGTTATCAATGAAACCTATATTTAAAGTTTGCCGTGTCTGGGCCAGTGGTCACGTGACATTTCAGGGACATCATTTCTTGACGAAGAAACTGCTGTCCTTTTTGACATAATGCTTCATTTATACACAAAAGACTCTAAGCAATGTATATGTTTCTAGATATTTATTTTCATTATACTATGATTTATCCTACCTATATTTGGGTTAAGGGGCTATCTCAGCTGTGTCATATAGTCGACGTGTCACCTACAAGTCATTTGAGGGGCGCGTGTCCTCAATGACGCCTCGTTGCGCGCGAGATAGCTTGTGACACGTTTACTTCATATGACTAATTTATTCACCTTCATACATGCTGTCCTGCTAGCTCCACAGCTTGGTGGTACGGATCCTTAGCGTATGAGCATGTATGAAGGGAAGTAACTAGGAAGACTAAAAACTCACTTTCATAACATGCTGTCCTGGCTGTGTAACAGCTTGGTTGGACGGTGCCGTCCTGGCTGTGTGACAGCTTGGGGGACGGTGTATGAGCATGTATGACGTATGAAAGGAGTATATTATATATTTATATCTTGGGGGTATTACGTAATGTTATGTAAAATATGCATCACAATGAAGTAAAAACCTCATGTAGATGCCTTAGCACAAGAATACAAACAAGTTCCGAATTTCAGTCCAGGAATGTTGGAAGCGAGCTACCCAACCCTAACTCCCAGTGGAAGGGGGTGGTATGATTTCCAATGCTTGACCAACTGGCAGTGTTTTCTCACTTGGACTAGTGCCAATTTTTGAAGTTGGGACAGAACATCGCCCTGAGTACAGGGCGCTAAAGCGTGAAATAGACCCAGGCACCATCTGAGAAGGATTGTGGCGGGGACGGCGGCGATTTATCAAACATTATACGTCTTAACACTCTGCTGCTGTTCCTAAGAATGACCAGCAATGTACCTAATAACCCTTCCTTCCGTTGGGAATATCAAATTACCATTACCTAATTTGGATGACTGACCAGTCACGTGACTAGTCTGATACAGTCTCTGAGAATGACCAGTCATCCCTCTATTCCTCCAGTTACTCTGGGCATATCAATTTACATTACCTAAACAGGTCCATTGCCTAGTCATCTCAGTTGACCCCTACAAACTCAAAATGGTTCAACCCATGATGAAACCCTCGAAGGTGGAATGACCCTTACACCAGGGGTCAATGTTTAGTTAGTCTACCCGAGTCTCTGTGTACAAACAACACTTATATCCATAAGTTTCAATCTGATTGCTGCAGGAGTAGGAAACACCTGTTCAGGGAACTTGTTTATACATTTCTTTCTGGCCCTCAGAACCATAGAACAAGTGTCCATGTTTACCTTGCCCTCAGGACTATTAAATAATTAAGTGTCCCAACTTAAGTCTAAATTTCAATAGTTGATACACTTTAAAATATTCATCCATGAAATCTATCAAAATTAAGTCAAATATACATCACATATTGATATGGCACTGAAAAATTGAATGACATTTATATTTGGACTTAAGACTCCATTCTCCTAATTCTTGGGCCTGGACATCGGTTAACATATATAGTGGTCAACAGGCTCAATACCAACCTGGCATCATCACTGCAAACTAGAAAATCTATGGAAATACATATATTCGAATTCAGGATATCTTATTGTTTCCAAAAGAAAGGGATCAGACAACAGGCATAGTCTACATTAGTCTTCTCCCGTTCCGGTTACATGTACATATTGAACACAGGGGTTAGGATGGACAGGTGATAGAGATTGACCATATAAGAGTATGAGTAACTTCGGGAATAGCGAGTCGAATTGTTGAAATACATATATGCAATAAAAGGGGATAATTTCTGAAAAGTGGATACCAACATTAACATTGAGATTTTCATTGTACAGTTTTAAAATATGTAAATAAAACTACCAACTTAAAATGTACGGGAAACATAAAAAGAAACAACATTACAGGTGTAACCTATGTAACCTTGTACCCCATGTGTACTAGGTTCACTACACTAACACATCATCTATCACGTGCCTAACATTGTCATTATAACATAAGTACATGTCAGTATACATGTTGTATATGTGTGTGCGTGTGATTGGTTGAAAGGGGAGAGCAGTATGAACGGAATGCCCGGGCAGACCAGAGTTCCTGTCACGTCCTCACCCAACTCTCTCCAGCCATTTCTCTCCAGGGTTCAGAGGGGTCGTCACCCATCCATATCAGCCCTGGTAACTCTGGCAAGTGATGTTTGCATTGTCATTGTCCATTTGTAATTACCGTCTTATAATATACTCTCGTCTTTGTATTAATCATGTTGATGTATGTAAGTTCCGGTCAATGTGTTGTCAAATGTATTAATTGTATCTGTTTGTGACCATTACAGGTTTTTTCCTACAGGAATTAACACATTATCCAAACAACCAAGCCCATCTTGTTATGCTTTGAAGACAAGAGGTCTACACAGATAAATGTTTTTCAAGTCAAACACTTTAGTTCAGGTCTCTCCACCATACTGTTCACGTACATGTACAAGTAATTTAGGACCTGTCTTGCCATAACAAATTCAAATTTGGACAGAAATTCCCAAATGTATCCCACTTGGTGTTATTGCTGCCTGACGGAAATGGTTACCATAGAAACCACAACCTTATGTCATGAAACAACTTGTTTCAAATGTATCATTAACCAAAATGAATCACTCAGAACAATAAAGATAATGTAAAATTTTCTTAGATGCTTTGAATGTTAAACTAGACATTTGAACACAACATGCTGCTACTGATTACATTCACCCTATCACCCCTAGGTAACTTGAATCGACTCTCCCATACATTCAACTGGATGAGTCCATTATGGTCTACAGTGGTGAAAGGGAAAAATTGATTTCTTCCTTCACAGCAAAGATTCCTAAGCTAAAAAGCTGTGTAAGGATTTTGATGTTCTGATGAATTTGCCCTAGTACAGGTGTTGAGAAGTGATTCACAGCCAACAATTTCCAGTATACGGTAAAGTTCACACACAAAGAATTAGACCTCCACCAAACACTTCAGTTAATATGTTATAGTATGTATAGTTGGTAAGAAGTCACTGTATTAATGCTGGTTTTGGTTGAGAGAGAAACGGAACCAGATAAGACAAATGTTGGGTGTGCAGAATTAAAGAGCACAGGAGATTGAGATTCGTGTCCACCAAACAGGGGTAACATAAACTGGGACAAGCTTTTAACTGCTGTAATGTCACAGCCATATACTATTTAAAAATATACAGAGGCTGTTTATATGGAAACCTGAAGTAACACTGGGTGGTTGGGTGGCGAAGTGGATAGAGCACTCACTTGCCTTTCAACAAAATGGCTGGGGTTTGCTTCCCCGATCGGACGTGAAAAATGGGATCACCTGGCCAACCACGTGTGTTTTCTCTGGGTACTCTGGTTTCCACCCACATTAAGACCCCCTGCTTGCTACCACCCGGGCCAACAAGAGTGATTAATATAAGTTGAGGGAACTTGTTTCACAATTGTTGTAAAATAGATAAAGTCTACTTAACTAATGACAAACAAACCAGGGGTAAAACTTTGTTTTTACGACGGAATCACATCACTCTTACACATTATAAACAACACAGAACAACATCAAAGGTCTAGAAGCATCTATTAGCTTGGGGGTTATTCCCATGTATTACACTACTGAGGACACAGAACAGTATCAAAGGTCTAAAAGCATCTATTAGCTTGGGTGTTATTCCCATGTATTACACTACTGAGGACACAGAACAGTATCAAAGGTCTAAAAGCATCTATTAGCTTGGGGGTTATTCCCATGTATTACACTACTGAGGACACAGAACAGTATCAAAGGTCTAAAAGCATCTATTAGCTTGGGGGTTATTCCCATGTATTACACTACTGAGGACACAGAACAGTATCAAAGGTCTTAAAGCATCTATTAGCTTGGGGGTTATTCCCATGTATTACACTACTGAGGACACAGAACAGTATCAAAGGTCTTAAAGCATCTATTAGCTTGGGGGTTATTCCCATGTATTACACTACTGAGGACACAGAACAGTATCAAAGGTCTTAAAGCATCTATTAGCTTGGGGGTTATTCCCATGTATTACACTACTGAGGACACAGAACAGTATCAAAGGTCTTAAAGCATCTATTAGCTTGGGGGTTATTCCCATGTATTACACTACTGAGGACACAGAACAGTATCAAAGGTCTTAAAGCATCTATTAGCTTGGGGGTTATTCCCATGTATTACACTACTGAGGACACAGAACAGTATCAAAGGTCTTAAAGCATCTATTAGCTTGGGGGTTATTCCCATGTATTACACTACTGAGGACACAGAACAGTATCAAAGGTCTTAAAGCATCTATTAGATTGGGGGTTATTCCCATGTATTACACTACTGAGGACATGGAACAATATCAAAGGAGGGGTCAGCATGTCTCAAATCACACATTAGCTTGGGTTAACAAGAGCACCGCAAACGGATGCATAATACGCCCGTCTGACCCTATCCAATGATTTTTTGTTTGTTTGATATTTAAAGTACCTGGTTGCCAGTGTCATGTCTATGTGATAACAATTATTTTCCCAACTTAAATCCATATTGTCCTTGTTAGACCCCACATGAACATCCATGCCAAAAATTAGGACAATAACACATGATCTGACTGAACTGTACACCACTGACGAAACTTGCACCAAAACTTCAACCGGATGGACGGACGCAGACGCTATACCATAACACCCCTGTCGAATTTCAACGGGCGTATAAAAAACAGGTGTGCAGGTAAAAAGCAGGTGTGGGGATGACAAATACAGATATACACAGGGGAAGGAGGGACAGAACAAAAGGAAGATGGACCAGAATGTGTTATTGTTGAGGGATATTATAGTAAATTAGGGGACGGGATATCAATACAGAACAAGCAGCATTGTATCACGGTGTGAACATCCCACTGGGTTGCATTTATGATCGTAAAATCTACATGAATAACAAATTTTGAACACACAAAATCAGGAGAGAAATTGTGTGAGTTCAAATGTCACAGAAATCCAGAAAATAAAATTTGAATATTCACATTTCAAGTAGAGAGCTATGCAATCTTGGATTACTTAGCTAGACTAGAAAATTTACACTTCCAAACCCCATATACACAAATTTTGTTCTTTAACTGTTGAGATTAAAAACAATCCGATTGGTAGAGAATTTTGATCGTGAATGCAGCCCAGTTGTCTTACGTTTATACTGGTATACACTCGAGGTAATTCTACGAATACACATCTGTGTAGCTGGGGTAACGCATGCTAAATACTTACCATGTTTTCACCACTATCCAACGCACAGAGATGTAAGGCCTGTGGAACAAACAGTTCAGGTGTCAGAGAAAAAGGTGTTTTCAAAAAAAAGGTTCCAGGAAGACTGCTGGTACTACCAACACATGCTAACCTTTACCCCGGGTATAAGGGATCATAAAAAGGTTTTATAAAACAGTCTATAAAAGGTACTGTTGATTTAGATCAGTCGTGATTAATTTGTAAACCAACGGTCGCTAGTGACGTGAAGCGTTCCGCGGCTGTTCGATGCATGCCGACCTACGCCCGACAACTCACCCTGTTCTTACAGTCAATGATGACATTCATCATCACACACATCTCCGCGTACGCGATGTAGTCCGTGCCCTTCCCACCTTTTTTCAGCCAGGCCTCGAACGATTTTAGTGTCCTGTAACAACAATCTTCACAATATCAGTACTGGGTCATTTGTTACAATACTCATGTTAAGTGAATACTGTACTATTTTTGCGGAAGTGTTATTTTTGTAATAAACCAAGTTCATGAATCCCAAGCTGTCAAATATTTCTACTTGAGCAAACATGCAACTGACCTTATCATTTTCATTTTGAAACCGCAAAGTCAACACCTCACAATTTTATATATTTCCACATTCATACAAATTAACACTGCCTTATAATACACACCAATACTTATTTCCTTACTTTAGCTTCAGACAGCTTATTTCTGATCATTTTAACATAAAAAAGGCATCAATCATGTTTACTTCTGGTGCTGGAATAAGACCTACCGTTTGGCTGCAGCTTCAATCATGTCTGCGGCCATCAGCTTCAGCCTATGATCCAGGTGCTCTGCGAACACTTCCTCGGGCCAATGTAAGTCACGTATAAACGACTGGAGGGCGTCTAGCTTCCACAGCATGTCCTCTGAGGTAGCACACCCATTTCTACGACAAAAGATATAACAGGGATCTTTTAAAACATTTGTATTTTTCTAAGTCATTTTTAAAACATTTCTCGTTTTCTTGAGTGACATGGTCATTTTCAAACCTTTCTTTAATCAGAAGTGACAGAACAACTTCTAAACTTAGAACATAAGATTATTTAACAACTTCTCAGCTTTCTCCGGGATCCTTAATCATCTGATTGAAATCTTTTACTTATTTTATATTGGCACAGAAATTTACTTTGAATAAACTTTGAATTTAAACCAAGCTAACACAGTTACTTCACTGCTTCATCAGCCATTTTTGAAACGTAAGAGGGTACATTTCAAAACAAATGAGCTATTGAAAGGAAAATCTCTAAACAGTTTACCCCTATGGGTTAGTTACACAAAACAGTTTACCCCTATGGGTTAGTTACACTAAACAGTTTACCCCTATGGGTTAGTTACAAAGAAAGATGGTAGGACCAGCATCCTTTATGACAGTAGTCTATCAGCAGGGTCAGCATTTTGATTTACAGAATTTGAAAAAGATTTCAGGCAACTGACTTGTTTAATAGCAAAATTACAGATTATATCTACTGCTGTGCTACTACCTTGATAAGTTCACCTGCAGTTTCTGCCAGGTGAGCTTTCTACCAGGTGAGCTCAAACTCGAAAATCTGCCAATTTCATATCTAAGCAGTAATGAGCCTCCCTTCAACCTTTACCTGATAAAATGTAATTTACAATATTTGACCTTTACTTACCCCTGAGGGTCCCACTTTTCGCGCTCGAAGCCCTTGTGTATGGATTGGGCTATGGACGATTCCATGAGATCCACATAACGTACCACTTGTGGTGCAAACACGTTTCTCAGATGGAGGTGGAACTTTCCATTGCATAAACTCTCTGTAACAGAATGACATCCAGTCAGGTGTCCTTATATTATCTTTAACAAATGAACTAGGTAGTTCAAATGTGCAGCATCCTCTGATGGAAGCGAGACAAATCTATGCTTACTATCATAGTAATATTTAGATACTCATTCCTAAAGATTTTACCAGTTAATGTAGTTTGATTGATTGATTGGTCTTAGGTCTGCTTTACTACCAAGTAGTTTGGTAATCCAGCAGACGAATGAAAATAAAATTTAAAAAAACCACCAGTTTACAAGTCCAAGGTTCTTATAGATATTTGTTGCTAAGGTATACAAAAGATTTGATACGACTCTATCAAGGAACACAACCCATAGTAACAGAATTCCAGATACGCCAGTCATACATCAGTTTGTAGATAGATTTACTAATATATTTTGAGACAAAGAACATAATTATATACTCCTTCAAATATTAAATAGTGTAGATATTTGATAATTTCATCCTGTGTGAGATGTAACCCCTTATTTAAGATTAAATGAAGACGAAATTGATGTGCAGCAAACATTTCCTGTTTTATAGAACTGTTAATATTTCTGGGTAATACAAGTCTCTAGAATAGTTTTACCATCGTTCCTGAGGTAATCATTGAGGGACTGAAACAATGGGAAGCTGTCCCATGTATCCGGAGGCTGCATTTCCAACGCCGCGTCCATGTCTACTGCGAAGAGCGACCAAAATATCTCGGCATGTTCTACCAGCAGATCGCTGAACCATGCAAACGCCTAGAAGAAATGACACAGGTGACATACAGGTGAGTAAGGGATTGACAACACCCCTAGATCTCCAGGTCTCAGCTTTTACTCCTGTAACTTAAACAGTTTTAATGTATACACAACACACACCATTTTCCATGCGTCTATATTCAAAGAGCACCATGTTAAATATTTACCATGTGCATATAATAATTTATCAAAAATAAGTTTCGATTATTTTCAAAAATTAATACGAACTTTTCGTAGATCATAGAATTGTCAAAATTAAATATATACACAAGATTTCTGTTTATTTTAAAGCCTGTTACCAATTAAATGTTCATTTTGCAAATATAATGGATACATTTAATGTAAAAGATTTTTCCAAAAAAATAAAAATTTGAATGCACCCGGTACTAGTTAGAGTTAGAAAGTCTGAGAAATAAATCGAGAACAGTCACCAAAGAAAATGGAAATTGTTTGTAAAATAACTCAACAGAAAGTTTCACAGCTAACAGTGATTGGTTGAAATGAAAAGGTTACGAGACATTGTGATATTGAAGGTGCCTGGAATATCTTAGAGGGAAGGACCTCACTCACTCGTGTTTATCAATACTAAGACGATGTTCTTTGTAGTTGGGTCTCATGTAAGTGGTGGATCACTTTCAAAATCATGTAATTTCCATACTTAGCATACTATTAACTCATTCACCCCTTAAGACACATTTGAACTCTTTCAATTCCAAGGTTGGAATAGTTCATTATGAAACTTCAGGGGTGAATGAGTTAAAGTGGATTATTGGTTAAAATCTATATTTCTTGACGAATTAATTAAAATTCAATAAGTAGAACAATTACAACACTCAGTCAGTGTCATAAAAAAGTCTTGTAATGTTCAATTCGTTAAATTAATCCAAACAGGTTTTAAATAAGGAAATCAACGACAAGACACTACACCAATGCATCACTTCAGATAGCCGTTTGGGCCCAAGAGCTATAAATAGTTCAAGTGTAATTAAAATTCATCATTCTAAAATACTATAAAAAACTTTACAAAGAAGAAGAACTTTTATCATCATTTCCGCAAAGAAACTATAACAGAACTGCAAAGATTTAAAAGCAGGAAAAACTTTAGAAAGGGGTGACCATAGTTTAGTTAATATTAAAAAAGGACTTTTGATTTGAAATTGATTTAATAATGTTTCAGATCACCTAGGTAAGTCCATAAATTATGTGGTTACAGTTTTGCAAATCAAATGTTGATTACACTCATGCTGATAACTGTATAATAAATGTGGCCTGCAACTTTTAAAATTCAAAAGAAAACATGGATTAATTAAAAATGCTATGGTGATCAGCTAGAGATATATGCTCAGCTACTGGCCTACAATTGAAAGAAATCGCAGTCACACACAGGGCAGCAAAAACCATACCATACAAAATGCGAATTTTGGGTAAATAAATAATGTCTTTTTTTAAATTCCGAGAAGAAATTAAAACCACAAGGTGGTTTTTTATAGACTCAGGAGAAAATACCACAGCTCAAACTCAGAAAAGGTGTTAAAATTTGTAAAGCGGATAGTTAAAACTTACTTTTCAAAAAAAACAATTTCCCCACATAATCCCAAGGTTTTGGAATGCTTATAGAATTTCACAAGCTCTGCCACAATATTACAAATCCTTTCCTATGCGACAAACAATTGTTACATATCCTTCAGGATCCCTCCCACCGTAATGTCACAATTGCCATTCTATCTATCCTTTCATTTTGGAATTCAAGTTTTTATCAGACTGAAGTGTGAACTGATCTCGACATAATGGATAAGCTACCCGAATACTTCGATAAATTTTAAGTTGTCAATTAATTAGAAAACAATGCTTGTCAACAATTTTTTTTAATGCAGATGTGTTAAGTCCGAAAAACGGAACAAGGCAGCTAACAATGATTATGAAAATGACAGAATTCCCACAAGCAAACCAACTCGTGGGAGTGTCAAAGAACGAGATTTTCTTCCTAACATCCTACATTATACCTTTGTCTTGGCTGTGACAAATTCCCAAAGATCACATGCATAACCCTGCTAGTGAAGGTCATGCATAAACGAAATTCTAACTTTCAGGTGACATTCTTAAATCGTAAATTGCTAGCAGAGCAATACTACATTGGTGCCCCAGTATTGTCATGAGAAATATTTCAAACAATAATAATAAAAAAAAAAGATAGAGTAGTACCATAAACAATTTAAAGTGTTTTAATGAGAAATGAAAGCTAAATTTGGTAAGATAATAGGAATAATGAAAATAGCTGAAAGGAAAACTCGCAAAGTGCCAAAATGAACTGTAGTGGCTACTAAGTCAATTAGTTGAATAAACAATCTAGTAGTAAAAAGGATTTAAGTGTGCTTAAAAGTGTCATTTCAACTAAACGTTGGATGGAACATCAACAAAAAACACAGCAAATGAACATAGCAGGGAAGATTTCAGGGTTACCTGACCGGGTGTGCAGTGTAGTCAGTTTTATTTGTGGTTGGCTGAGATTTTGTGTTGAGGAAGTTGTTGTGTTCACTGCTGAGATGCTGTGCTGAGGAAGTTGTTGTGTACCTTACTGAGATGCTGTGCTGAGGCAGTTGTTGTGTCCCTTGCTGAGATGCTGTGCTGAGGCAGTTGTTGTGTTCCTTGCTGAGATGCTGTGCTGAGGAAATTATTGGGTACCTTTCTGAGATGCTGTGCTGAGGCAGTTGTTGTGTCCCTTGCTGAGATGCTGTGCTGAGGCAGCTGTTGTGTACCTTGCTGAGATGCTGTGCTGAGGAAATTGTTGGGTACCTTTCTGAGATGCTGTGCTGAGGAAGTTGTTGTGTACCTTGCTGAGATGCTGTGCTGAGGCAGCTGTTGTGTACCTTACTGAGATGCTGTGCTGAGGAAATTGTTGTGTACCTTGCTGAGATGCTGTGTTGAGGAAGTTGTTGTGTAACTTGTTGAGATTTTGTGTAGAGGAAGTTGTTGTGTACCTTGCTGAGATTCTGTGTTGAGGAAGTTGTTGTGTACCTTGCTGAGATTCTGTGTTGAGGAAGTTGTTGTGTACCTTGCTGAGATGCTGTGTAAGGAAGTTGTTGTGAAACTTGCTGAGATGCTGTGTTGAGGAAGTTGTTGTGTACCTTGCTGAGATGCTGTGCTGAGGAAGTTGTTGTGTAACTTGCTGAGATACTGTGTTGAGGGAGTTGTTGTGTACCTTGCTGAGATGCTGTGCTGCGGAAATTGTTGGGTACCTTTCTGAGATGCTGTGCTGAGGCAGTTGTTGTGTACCTTGCTTAGATGCTGTGCTGAGGAAGTTGTTGTGTACCTTACTGAGATGCTGTGCTGAGGAAATTGTTGTGTTCACTGCTGAGATACTGTGCTGAGGCAGTTGTTGTGTACCTTGCTGAGATGCTGTGCTGAGGAAGTTGTTGTGTTACAACCTTGCTGAGATGCTGTGCTGAGGAAGTTGTTGTGTACCTTGCTGAGATGCTGTGCTGAGGAAGTTGTGTACCTTTCTGAGATGCTGTGCTGAAGAAATTGTTGTGTACCTGTGTTCTGATGGTTAATGTTTCATGTGAGTATATTATGTTGTTTGTGGGAGAAAGCGCGTTATCTGTTTGGTGCAATGCTATTTTGCTTGGTATGATTATATTATTACAAGACGATGTGTTACAGTAAAATTCTTGTTAACAAAATGAATGTCTACATACCTGATAGTAACAGAAATACAAATATAAAGCTATGTTGTGTTTAGGGTTTTGGATTTACTTCTGACAAGGTCTAAATATAATTTAAAAAAAATTAAACCAAGAAAGAAACAAATAATGCACAATGTGTATCTGTGAAAGTAATAGTTTAGCAAGAACCTTGACATGTGCCTGACCATACCCCTCCCATGGTCTGGTTCTAACAAGTGACCTTGACCTTGACTTCAGCTACTTTTCAAATCCCTATTGCACATCTACATTTCAGTGTCTTACCACGGCAAATTTCAAAAAGAGCAGACTTTTGGATTCTGAGGAAAAGGACCATCAACCCGTTCCCCATTGTCTATTTTTAGTAACAGTGACCTTGACCTTGGAAAACTTTGAAATCCTAGCTATTTCATATTCAACCTGTCAAATCACTAAGAAATCAGAATTACGATTTTGAGAAAATTATGTAAGGTTATCAGAAAAGGGACATAACTCTCTAATAAAATCTTGTAAGGGTATCAGAAAAGGGACATAACTCTCTAATAAAATCATGTAAGGTTATCAGAAAAGGGACATAACTCTCTAATAAAATCATGAAATTAATACCGAACCATAGCTTCAGCAGCATTTTAGGCACCAGACAAACTTCTATCCACAGACAGACAGTGGGATAGACGTACAGACGAACATCCTTATTCCACTATACTCTCCTAACTTTGCTGTAAGGGCTATTACTATTTTGCATGAGGTTTTATTACCAAGATTTACTCATTACCTTTGCTGCAAGGGGTATAATTATTTTAATTGAGGTTTTATTACAAAGATTTATTGTAATATGTATCAATGATTCCTCCAATTCAAAAAAGTTGGAGAAGATGAGAAAAAAGTATTATGCAGATAGATAGAACAGTAAATTAAAAGAGTAATTAGGAATAACAGGTATTTGTAAGTTAAAGACAAAACAAAATTGACAAAAATTCATTTTTTTATTCGGCTGTAATTTCAAATCTATTTTGGGTTGTTTGTTCAGCATGGCTGTTTTCACAATGCTGGGATTGGTTTGAACTGCTAACCAAAATATTGTTTTGAAGTGAGAAAAAAACCTCAAAAACATCCTTGATTTGGATTGAAGTGCTAATAAAGATTTGTCCATTTTTAAACAGTGAGAAAACACAGCAACTATTTGTTATTAGCACTGCTCAGATCAACAGTGAAGCTGATGTTTGTCGTGGTTACCATGGATACCAGTGTTGTGGAAACCTACTTGACAAAGGATCAATGAACTGAGTTATACTTTACAAACATCCTTATGCCGTTGTCATACTATACCACTCAAAAAGTTTTCAGTCAAACATTTTTAATTTCCTCCGTATTAATACAACAATTTTTTGTTTCAGATTGATTGAAAATAAATTTAATGTATAACAAGAAAGGATAAAGAAACTCTAAGTGAGTTCTTGTGTAAATCTATATCATGTTGTAAAGAAATTGTTTAAACAGAAGTGCAGAAATCTGATATAGACTTTGACCCAACAAACATTATGTCAAATTTGTATCCACTGTTCAAAATTTCCACTGCAACTGAGACAAAGAACAGCAACACAAAAAATTGTAAACTGTATGACATACATGAATATACCACTTTCAAAATAGCTACATTATATAACAAAGGGAGACAACTTGCAATGAACCAAAACTTCCTGATAAAGTGATATATATAGTGCAACATAAAAAAATTGTAATCTGTATGACATACATGAATATACCACTTTCAAAATAGCTACATTATATAACAAAGGGAGACAACTTGCAATGAACCAAAACTTCCTGATAAAGTGATATATAGTGATTTGTGTTCAAAATTTTAATTCTTGTGCTCAAACAACCTACGACGACGAAGTATTGGACTGGTGTACATGTGATTTACGACGTCCTAGACGTCAGTTTTAAACAAAAGTACAGATGAAAATGCACAGCTGATGGTGTTAATACCGACAGATCTAGGAAGCCGGCAAGAAAAAATAGGATCTAAACCAAACAGAGACACGCATCGTGATCGTTATACAAATAAACAAAATAAATTATGTTTTGATTTATTAAGAAAAGAAATATTTATTGTATGTAGTATTTGAAGTGCAGAGTAAAAAATGTGTGACACACACTCAGGAAGTAGGGGTATATAACTCACCGCGACAAACTGCTACCAGCAAAGAGGGTAAAAAGCACAAAATATGGTTAATCCATGCATGATCTGACATGAAACATATATGATGTTGACGTGGAAACACACTTACGCTCTGTCCGACAAGAGGGGATATAAATGTACATATAAAGATCTCTCACACATATGACAAACTCGACTGAACAGTAAGCTGGCATGGTTACAACACTGGTCAACCCTTCATGGCCGTGTGACACTAACGAGGAGATGAATCGTAGTTTGTTTTTACTTTTATTTCAAGAATTTTTGTTTTGTTTTATGTAGAATTCTTAAATCTTTCAAGTCTTTTAAGAATTAAATGATAAAAAGTTATGCATTCCGTTTTTATTTAGAAAAGATTATATGGTTTTTTCCGATGTATAACATGCAAGCGACAGACAGGTTTATACACAAATTGGTAAGCCAACCATTAAACGGCCTTAAAATGTATAATTATTTTTAATATTCTCAAAATATTTTTGAGACATACACATGCTAATTAAAAGAAAAAAAAAATGACATGGGAAAATACCATATAAGGAGAGCTTCTACGCTGGTGACTTTTCCACGACTAATTATTACGAGGTTGTCCTATCACAACATCTGAAGGGTTGACGTACATATAATGACACCATTGGAACACTGAAATCCCACGTCTTCAGTTTAATCACTTTAACACTTAAAATCTTTATATCAGAATTGGCACAAATAATGTCCATGGTGAAACAGTTTCTGTTTAATCTAAACTTATATCAAAGTTAGAATTCTACTTCCTCTGTGTGCAATAACTTTTTCTTAAGAAAGAAACCAAATCTTCCATATGTCTCATATTTGATTTCAATGGTAATAATAGTTTTCGCCAAGTCCATACAAATATATATGTTTATAGCTGTCAAAATGCATCCTCCACCCCTAACACCCGCCACCAGTACAATCAAGGTCAATGGCTTGACAACACCATTGCTGGGGATTTGGTGGGAAGAACAACTAAAATTCTTCCATTCGTTAACAACAAGGAAACAGCAACATCCAAAACTACACATTGTAAACATCCAAATTCAACATTTTACATTTGTAAATGCTGTTATTATAATTGATTTATATACATTCTAATATATCAATGGAACTTCTTTACTGTAAAAGCAGATTTCATGGTCATGTGAATATCAGTTTACGTTTCTTTTTATAAATGGATATGATTTTTGAAATATAAATATATCTATATCTATATAAACATTTCATGAAATCATAGAGATAAGGCAGATAATTGATTGTAGAGCTAAGAGTAAAAGCCTGGACCAGTTGAGGTGAAATGTTGGTTGATAGCAATTCACCAAAACAAAATTTGACATCTTGTGGCCTTGAACATTGGTCAAGGTCATTTGTTTTTGCAAACTTTGTAGCACTCCATGTCAACAAGTTACAGACAAAATAGTATGACTCAGACCTTTTCATTGTTCAATGTGGGTCAAGGTTATTTCCCTTTGTAAGCCTCGTAGCATTCCATGCCAGCAAGCTACTGGAAATACAACTCTTAGCCTTCAGGTTCTTCTAAAGAAGTCTTTTGAACGCTTGAACAAATTTGATCCCTGTGACCTCGAATGCCGGTCAAGGTAATTATTTTGTTGCCACATTTGTAGCATTTCATACCAGTAGGCTCCTGGAAAAATATTATGACTCCAAGCCTTTCAGTTCTTTAGAAGAAGATGTTTGAGAATTCTTCACATTATATATTGAAGAAAGTATTGCAAAGCGTTTCCTAGCGAGCCTGATTTTTTACAGATTTTATTTAACATACAAATCATTGGACTGCTGGTTCATTACAAGATTGATTAAAAGCCACAAATTTTCATTTTTGTCCCTTATGTGCCCTCAAAAATGGGCTAGCCTCTATCCTCATGCAAATGTTGGCAAAATCTCCTAGGGATACCTCCTGCCAAATTTGGTAGTAATCTGCCTAGTAGTTCTTGAGAAGAAGTTGTTCAAAGGAATGTTAACAGACACATGATTGGCGGCAACAGGATTTTAACAGCTCACTTGGTCCTTTAATCAAGGTAAGCTAAAATCAATCTGCTTCCTTAAGAACTCCATGGTTACGACAGTGAGCTTCCTTGAGAACTCCATGGTTACGACAGCGATCTTTGTTACCCACAGACATGATTCTATGTCCCATTATATACAAGAGTTCTTTAAAAATGATGTTATCGTAATAATTTGTAGTACATATTGATTTTGTAATGTCAGTCTGAGAGATGCCTTGTAATGACAAGTGTTTTTTTTCCACACAGTTGACTTACAAGCTGTTATTTCATACTGTTGTATTAGCAGAACAGTTTAAAAAAAAGTTTAAAAAGAAACTGATTAAAAGAAACATGTATTCACACATCCAAAAATTCACTTTTACAGTAGGCAGTTAGTCTGTAAGTGGCTTTAATCTAACAAACCTGAAACAAAGTAATATTAATTAGTATAAATAGTACTTTATTGAAAACCAAGGGAACCAACTGAAACCTCTGGAGTGGACAGATATAAGACGACGGGACACAGAATTCTTCAGACTGTAGAAGATATCGCTCTAGCAACGCAAATTCCTTTAAAAAATGGTTGGGATTCAAGAAGAGATGATGATTGTTCCCAAGTTAGACTTTCCTTAAAAATATTTTGAAGAAACTTGATAGGCTAAGTTGGAGTTCGGGTTCATGAAGCGTTTCAAACTCCCCAGATCTGTCACTCCAGGAGTTACCTGGACAGGTATGTAAGGTGTTAATGAGTTAGCCAGACAGGTGTGTACAGGTTTTGAAGGGTTTACTTACAACAACAGACAAGTATGTGTAAGTTGAATAAGTTATATACCGACAGGCTTGTATAGATTACTAGCGACCAATATCTAATTTGACAGGTTAATCCTGTAAAAAACTGGCGCCGAATAAAAGAACATGATCAAGGTGAAATCTGAAGCTGAAGATGATGTGAAAGGAGACCTAGTATTTTACACAATAAGGAGGGGACAGAAAAAACCTGATGAAGCATCGTTCCTAAAAAGCCATTTGGACTGATGTGTCTCTCAATGCACATGAGAAAATAACTTAAATGCAAAAACTTAATGTTGAGGTAGATGCTGACAAAGTCAATGGACCATGATAGGTAGGCTACATCCAGCATTTGATGCAAAGGTTAAGTCAAAGATGTACTACCTCAGATGCATCTATTGTCCAAGTTTGGTTGGTCTAGCACTTATACTTTCAGTGAAACTAACTTGAACGTAAAAACTTGATGTTGACGCCGTCACCAAAAAAGCAACACCTAAGTCTTGCTACCACTACTTTGTGGCGACGAGAAAAAATGGTTCATTATCATTCATTTCTGTCCTGTATAAAATTTAGTGAACCCTTGTCAAAAACAAGTAAGAAATGAAATGACTTAGGGAGATAATAATCCTTTGATAAACTAATGTGAATATCTGGAGTACCTGACCCTTGGTGTAGGGACCCTACTTGAGTACACGCACAAAAATAATGAGAGTACCGACAAACCGCAGTGCTATTTAACCCGTTTACAAATCTCTGGCTATACCTATATGAACACAGGAGTTACACGAGTACGAACGTATACCCTACACTTTGGGTTACGAACCAAATCGTGTACAAACACCCGAGTAGAGAATTACTTGAGTACATGATTTATACGAGTACGGACAATCTGACCTGATGATCACTGGACGTGACTCACCTCAGCGTGGTGCTCCTCGTTTTGCTGCAGTACCTCTATACAGAGTTCCGCAAGGTGTAGTACATCGTCCAGCCTCTTCTTGGGCGTTACATCGTCACTGTACGACTCTGTAGACACAGAAAGAAACTCTCACTCACGCTCATTTTAAATTTCAACCTGTGATGAGTCTTTTCATGACAGATTGTCTAAGTTAATAAATCTTTATGTATTATCGACTAGGAGACGAAAAAATTTCTTCAATCTTTTAATATTAATCAAGAAAATTTGACAAATCAAATGAAATCTTCTCTATATACAGCAAAACAAGTTCATAACAAACCTCTGCTCAGATGACACAGAAATTTGCTTGCTACAATTTTTTTTTTATCATAAGACTAACTGCTGGATATACAAATATGGATTTTATGCAAGTGTTTGTAATAAGTGGGTTTGTAGTAAACATGTTTTTGAATATTTCAATCAATAATTCCCTCTTTGGCATAATTACAGAGTTATAACCTTTGTCTATATTTTACAAAGTTCAACAACAACCCATTCACTCTATCTAGAAGTTAAAGTTAAATGCAAAAATCAAAATTCAGAAATAAAAACTTCACCACTACTTCTACTACATATTTCGGCTCAAGTCAATGGAAGCCTGAGAAGATGAGCAAAAATTCTATCCAAATATTTCACCAAGTTTATTTTTAAAAATATTGAAATTCAAAAATAAAACTGCATACAGAAAGATTCAAATTGACCATACGAACACCAAAATACAAAAGATATGCATTTCCACATATTTATCCATATTAACAATTTGAAAATTTACATTATTGGCTTATAAGGCTTCACATAACTAGGCACTACAAAGGTGAAATGAAACCTGAACACAAATTGTATAAATATAAGGATCTACATGGGATTAAAATTAACTTCTGAATATGGAGATAGAGTTATCCCCCATGTCTGAGTAACACCAATAAGCTTACCTCATTTTCACCACTAGTATGGTATGCAGATAATACAGATACAATCACTTTCATATCTTAACTTTCTCAATCTAATGATAGAATTTCTGGTTCAGGATTTCTACACCAGACTCAATTCATAATAATTGTTATAATAAAAAGTTTTATATAGGGAAGGCACTGCTAAGGAAAAACCATAAGTAAAGCTAAGGAATGTTCAAGAAAATACGGACAGTACATTGTGTCTGGTAAATGTACGTCCACATTACCAAAACAAAGCAAAACAGGTTCAAGGTAGGGTATTGGACAAACTGATTTAGATGTCTCTAAACATAGCTTTACTGAAGCAGGACTTCGTTACACCAAGTGTTATGCTGGAGCCATGAAAATCTTGTTACGATAAACAGAGATTTTTCAAATTGAGAATATCTGAGATTCACCTGTCACAAGACCAGACTTCATCTCAAATAGAAAGAGATATCTGAATTTCAAATAAAGTTTCATTGCATATTTCGATAAGTCAGCCACCTATTGGTTATAGGAGTTGAAAACACTACGAACAAGACTTGGACTGAACTCATTCACACCTGAACATTCGTAATGAACTATTCCAACTATTGAATTGGAAGAGTTCAAATGTGTCTTCAGGGGTGAATGAGTTAAACCTCAGACTCTGGCCGTATGATCTTCAGACAGATGCTCAACCAAGTAAAGTTCAGATTTTCCACATTCTTCATAGTATGACAGTTGCGATCATCTACTAGATGAAACTCAGAACAAAGCTTCACTAAATGAATATATTTAATCAAATTTAAATAGCACATTAAAAAATCAATAACAGTTTTGAGCATAAAAACAACAACCAAATCAGTATAAAAGAGTAAGGCGTCAACACAACAGACATCGACACAACAGACACAGAATGAGATACTAGACAAACATGTCAAAGCTGTGAAGAACGTAATTACTGTGTAACACGCATTGTAAAATTATACAAAATCTAAACTATTGTGATAAGAAATTACAGTGTAAGTTATTGCATACAGCTTTCTGTATTTTTTTCATTCCGTAATATTGATCTACAAATTGTAACAAATCGCACAGTTGTGCGGAGAGAAGCGCACGACGGGGCGAACAATTGTTAAATCGCACAGTTGTGCGTAGAGAAGCGCACAACGGGGTGAACAATTGTTAAATCGCACAGTTGTGCATAGCTTCAAGACTTTGTTCCCTCATAAGGATTCTTTGCAAATGTTCACACCTTTAGTGTAGCATAAAATTGCTAAATATGTCACTATTTTATCAAAAAGAACTAAAATGTGCTTGAATTGTTCTACTGTGAACTAAGGTTATAGGGAACATCTTACAGGCCTTCTGTTGAAAGAAATTTCACATATGTAAATATTTTTTAATACATTTGAAAAAAAAAAGGATAATGGCAATTACTATAAAACTTTAATCATGCAGTTTGACTAATCCTAATTGACTAATCCTAGATTTTCCAATGACATATTGTTTTCAGCTATTCTACACATTCCGCGGCAATCCAATAGGTGCTGTACAGTTGTTAATATATGTGAAAGTATAATGTTCGCAAAACTTGTGAAGATACTGGAATTGACATTTTTTCTGGCAGATCATCAAAGATGTTGTGACCTGGTTATTTATAAGCTTTTGTGTCATAAACAATTAATTAACAAAGCAGAGTATTGCAAGGCAATACATAGTCCACCACCGGTAAGTATTTCTATATTTAACAAACAGTACACTTATGTCAGGAAGCATAGGTCATAGTGAGGATATGGTAACCTACTTCTTGTACTTCGCCATCCCAAGATGTCCTTGTACACCAAATTTGGTTACTCTAGGTGAAATAGTTCAGAAGATATGCCTCAGACAAACTTTTTCAAAAGTTAAGGTAAAAGGTCAAGTCATAGGTCACAGTGACCTAATTATTGCACTCTGCACTCCTTCATCCTAAGATGTCCTTGTACACCAAAACTGGTTACTCCAGGTGAAATAGTATAGAAGATATGCCCTGGACAAACTCTTTCAAAAGTACAGGTCAAAGGTCAAAGCATAGGTCACAGTGAGGTCATAGTGACCTTCTTCTTGCACTCTGCACTCCGCCATCCCAAGATGTTCTTGAACACCAAATTTAGTAACTCCAGGTGAAATAGTATAGACAGTATGTTCTGTACAAACTACTTGGACGGAAGGACGGAAGGAAGGAAGGATGGATGGAGAGCANGCCCCCCCCCCCCCCCCCCCTCCCCGGAACTGGAGGGGGAATAATAACACATTTTTTAGTCAACAAACATTGTTATTTCTAGTCTTGCAAGTCATGTAAATTTCACAAGATACTGTATCATTGTTTTGCATCGGACTATTGGTGCAGAAATTCCAGAATATGGAACAATATTAAGAGGGTTTAACTGCAGCAATGACAGGTAAAACCCCACTGTCATCCAGTTCTGTACACAAAGCCGCAAACTTTCCTTTCCAAAGAATCAACAACCATACAGCAAACAAAATGATCAGCATCAACAAATTAAAGTTGAGGTAGGTTGGATTGTCTAAATTTGTCTTACAAATGATCTACTTACCTGATCCTAAGGAGTAAGAAAATATTCAAAGTAAATACAGTCAGTTAACGAGAATAGAAATAGGTAATAAAGAGATGAACAATTAAATAACAAAGGTGAGATTAGGTAGGTTTACAGTGATTACTTAAGTTATATAATTTGTACAGATGTTCACTAAAGCTGCTTTTTTGTGTGAAATAAGAGTTAACCATATGACAACTAAAGATGGAAAATCTTGAAATCACAAATTTTTATTTATTTATATCATTTTTGAATTTGAATAAAAACAAAGTAAGAAATCCACACTATATACATTAATTGTAAGGCCAAAAAATAAAAATTACTTGGTTCTCAGGCCTTTATTAACCTCGTGTACAATGGCGCTCATTTCGATACAAATAAGGAATGGGGGGGTCTATGATTCTTCTCTGGAACATTGTGGGGGGATTTTCAGAGGCTTGCTCCATGACGGATCTCTAAACAACTATAAAAACCAGTAACATCGATCTGGGAACGTGGTCGTCCCAGATAAACTCTGTTCTGCTTAAGTATCTGTGTGTGTTGGGCGACAAAAAACGAACACATTTGACAGGGTAATGCCCACAATGAACGTTTTACAAACAACACAATAAAAATAAATCACCCTCATCTCATTGTTGCCATGTAAAATGAAAAAAAAAAAGACCTCCATGCCTCATCTCTTTTGAAAAAAAATGGCCTGAGAACCAAGTAATTAATTTTGTTTGGCCTAAAGTCCATACATAATATGTGATGAAAAACCCCCTGCATAATTCTTAATAGTATGACAGTAAAACTGTGTATTTTCTTAAGTCAAGTTCATTTGTTAACCAAATAATTTTTCTGTGACTTATTATTAGTTCAAGGAATATGGCAGTGTGATTGAAGAAGAGGGTATTTTTTTTTCTCCCAAAGTGGATGACAGTGTAATCATTTTGTGTAAGGTAAGTATCGAGAGTTTGCACCTTGACAAAGGGGTGGAATACATATATTATTCTCACTCTCAGTTTTACCTCTTCATTTATACAATACATACTTATTAATTACAGTAAAACACAGCTAACAAACAGGCATTTATTTGGAGTCAATGAATTGGATAAAATTATCATTATTACTCATAAGACTTAAATATACAATTATGGGTACAACACTAATTGTTGCTTATGGGGAAAAACTCAATCGTGTTGTCAAATAAAATTACTATGTGCGAAAAAGAAAAAAGTAAATATCCTATATCAAATTTTCAAAATGTATTCAGGAATTTTTATCACTAAATTAATCTTATACTTATTGACATTTAATGAGCTTTAACTAATGACGACAAACTTTAAATATAAAGAAAATATGAATCAATAGATACTTAATATACGAAATGTAAAATATGAATCAATAGATACTTAATATACGAAACGTAAAGTTTTTGAACGTCTACCTATCGTGCATCAACCCTAGCGGATCTCAGGCCTGCATTGAGGAAGGAGACAGGAAACCATCTCCAGAGACTAATACTACTGGCCACTTGTCTGGCAGTTTTACTTATCTATTCCAAATTATAAAGCTATCCTATCTACTTTGAACTGTGATCTACAACCTAAATCTAGTAAATAACTACACTGAAGATTTACAAATTAACATAATGACATTTTTAATTTTTACGCATCCCTTGCAAAAAGTTAGACCATGACATTCCCACGATGTGTATTTTTCCAGAGTTACAGAATCTAGGTAAAATAATAAATGTATTTTTTTCCTCACTTTTAGCAATGCTAGCTACATTGTATAAAACCTCATGCCTATAGCTAAACTACTAGACACCGGTAAGAAATAAATACAAATACAGTAAGAGCTGTCTATAGAATTACAACGGTGAAATAGAACCACTACATGCAGAAAGAATCAGTGCTAGTAAAAATCTATTGTAAACAAAAAATTACAATGACATAACTACTATCACAAGTTTAAATTCACCTTTTCTTCCTGAATAAGCATTAATTTAACGAGTAAGAAAAATTCTTGATATAATTTACTAACAAATAAATATGAATAATATTTCTTCTATAAATACTTTATAATACATATTAAAATAGAAAACAATTATATAAAACTATTCATTTAGAAATTGGAATTGGAATTATGGACTTACAAAATGGAAATTTAAGTTTGTATTTTAAAATTCTTCTTCATTGGTGCAAATCACAAACAAATATCTATAAAGAAGGCATTATTTATTTTAAAATACACAGTTTTGTTTTCATAACCAGTTAAGCATGACCAGTGTAAATATCAGAAATTATCAAAAAGTTGATGTCATTGCTTTGGTGCATGAAGACCAAGCCCACAAGCTTTCCAATGCTGTCAGAACATTCTGCTTCAAGAGATTTGCAGGCCATAATTCCGAGTATATGGTTATAAGGTATGCATTTCAATATACAGAGCCGTTCAACTTCGTCCAATCAGTAGGCTACAGGTTGTAAGACACATACCTTCGATCTTTGCATATTCGGATATTCTCGTGTAGTTTACCAGGGCGGCATTCTCAAGGCAGAGCTTGATCACGTTCCGCACTTCTTCTGGTGGCACTGGCGTAACAATGTCCTTCATCAGAACCTACGGACAATAGACAGGCTACAAATCATGTCATACAAATCAAAACGGAAACTTGTGAAAAAAATCCAGTTTGATGTATTTATCCGAAAAATATCACTCTTATGATATGAACATAAAAGAATTACTGTTTTTGTAACGATGTTGGTCCCGTCAGTTTTGATGCATAGGTGGACCTACTACAGTAGGAAATCTAGCATTAATGGAATTAACTTTCTCAAATTTATACTACCCAATCTGAAATAAACTTTAGAAAAGTTTAACTTTCAAAGTCTACTACAATATAATTCTAGAAAAACCTTCAGAACTAAAACCATTCTGTTGTGATTTTCCTGTTGGTGTCTGCTACTCAAATTTGCTACACCTTTTTAACTTCACTGCAGAACTTTTCTCTGTACGGCAGTGTTAATGAGATGTATTTCATGAAAAACAACCTGATACTATTTAGTCCCGATCAAAGACTGGAAACAATACCATACCAAAAGGAATGTTGATGAGTTCTAAACATGGCGATAGTTTACCCTTTCTAGGAGAGACAGTGTTGCCTTCAGTGCTCCCTCTGGTCTGCCGAATGGAAAGCAGTACCTGAAATGGAAAGTGTGGTATGTTGAGAAACAAGTCAGAATCACAGAAAATGTTTGAGTGTTTTAAGTGTTTGAGATTTGCAAAGAAAACATGATAAGTAATGTGTGGGTCAAGACCAATTTATATATAAAAAAAAAAAAACGAGTTAGGATTTACCATCTCCTTACACAAGTTGAATTGATTCAACTATCCAAGCTATAGTGAAACCCCTCTTTGCCGAAACCTGAGTAATCTTGTTATACTATCCTGCTACAGTGAAACCCCTCCAATCTGAACCCTGAATAATCAAGTTCTAAAATCCTGCTGCAGTGAAACCCCCTCTAATCTGACCCCTGAGTTATCAAGTTCTTCTATAGTGAAACCTCTCTAAACTGAACACAGAGTAATCAAGTTATACAATCCTGCTACAGTGAAACCCCTCTAATCTGACCCCTGAGTTATCAAGTTCTTCTATAGTGAAACCTCTCTAAACTGAACCCAGAGTAATCAGTTATACAATCCTGCTACAGCGAAACCCCTCTAATCTGACCCCTGAGTTATCAAGTTATACAATCCTGCTACAGTAAAACATGTCCAATCTGACCCCTGAGAAATCAAGTTCTACTATAGTAAAACATCTCTTAAATGAACCCTGCAGAGTAATCAAGTTCTACTATTCATGCTACATCAAAACCTCTCTAATCTGTCCCATGAGATCATTTTAATCATTTTATTGTCAAAGGGTTTCTGTACCAACTGCAAACAGTTTTCTCTAGTTGAAGTTTTGATGTGTAGAAAGCTGTTTCTCTAGTTGAAGTTTTGATGTAGAAAGATGTTTCTCTAGTTGAAGTTTTGATATGTAGAAAGATGTTTCTCTAGTTGAAGTTTTGATATGTAGAAAGATGTTTCTCTAGTTGAAGTTTTGATATGTAGAAAGATGTTTCTCTAGTTGAAGTTTTGATATGTAGAAAGATGTTTCTCTAGTTGAAGTTTTGATTGAAGTTTTGATGTGTAGAAAGATGTTTCTATAGTTGAAGTTTTGATGCATAAAAATGTTTTGAAGAGAACATGTTGTTTGCATTATAGATACGGTAAGTAAAAATTAATGTCCAAACAAGAAAAACAGCATCCTAACTTTAGCCGAATCTTGTTTAGTTAGTTGTTTGTTGTAAGTTACCGGAAGTGAGTGATCTGATTTTCCAGCAATATTTTCAGCCTCTCTTTGATCTCATCAAACTTGGACTTTTCTCTCAACAGCACAGTGCCTATTCCATCAGGTCTGAAAGTACACACAGCATCATATACGTTAATGAATCAGTATCATTTGTGCTAACATGATTCAAGGAGATCATTTGCTTCTTTAACAACATACAAAGTATATGATCTAGATGTCACAAAATGTCTCGGAGGAATAAGGTACAAGGCGCTCAAAGTTTCTCATTCATTTAAACGAATGTCCAGTAAAATTGACCAAACACACCAACGAAGAGGCCAATAGCCTAAATTACTCAGAAAGTTTTTAATACTTTAACAAAATATATTTATACAAGCTGAAAATACACCAAACGTAAACGAAGGGAGGGAGAAACTAGTTTACCTATTTCCATGGACGTGTGAGGCACAGAAAGCGAAGCTGTAGTGTATGAGAGTGGGGTCAATCATCACACCTTGCTCCGCCCTCTCCAACAGGTCGCTCAGGTAACACAGGTGTCGATGACAGCCGCGGACACCGTACCTGGCACAGTACTCATCCAGCACGAACACCTGGCCGGGACTGAACCAGCCCTGTGGGTCAAAGGTCAAACCCGTAAATAAGGAGTCTTGTATTGCAATTGGTATTTTGAATTGTAAAAAAATTCAGCAACAATCTGTTTAAGAATATATATTTACACTTCTCCCTTCTTCAGCTAACGCGCACCATAGAATATAATCGTTGCCAACTGCGTTCAAACTACAGTATGCGCCGTCAAAATAAATGTCATTCCTTATAGAAAGAAGTTTCATACAAAGTTAGTTCCAAAAGTGAAATTATTCTAGAGAAAAAGGTTATTCTGAACTTTGACAGACAGTTAGGTGAGTGCTGGTTGAAAGGAGGAAGGTTGGGGTGGATCTGGACTAGTGAAATAACAAGAAGTCGTTTGCTGTGGATTTTCTTTTCTGTTCATGATCTGTTTATTGTTTGTTCATGAGTTATAGAACCTAGCACATCAGGAAAATGGTCAGTGTAGCTAGTATAAAATGTAGAGAAAGAAATATCAGAGGAAGAGGTAAGTGATCAATTGAAAGAGAAGAAAGTGTTACCAGGCAGGTGTAGGCATCGTTGAGTCTATAGTCTAGGGTGAGGACCTGAAGAGTTGTGAACAACTCGTGGTGGTCAAAGATACAAGGGTTAGCCTGCACAAACTCGTCCAGGCCGTGCTTTCTGGCACGGTCAGCATCTGTAAAGGTCAAAGCAAGGCCGTTACATACAATATTACAAGGTCATAGACATCAAGGTCATTCTAAACAGTACAAATTCAGTAAGTTTCTAATCAACATAACGGTACAGTGTATCCATCAGTAACATATATCCCAGAACATTTTTCAGAAACCAAAATTTGGTAAATTTTTCATCATTTCAACATACACACACAAAATATTCTTTTAAAAGTTTGTACCATATCAAAATCAACTCAAATTAGGTTGGAAGAAAGAAAGGCAAGTTTTCTGAACAATTTCACAAAAAGCACTATAAATCAAAAATCTAAAGGCAAGCCTTTACAATCAAGGATTTAAAGTTTATTTATTTTATTACAGATTCATTAACATTGTGTTATAACAAAGCAATAAAAAGATACAATCTTGGAAGTTTAAGGAAGAGAGATATTTAACTCAATCACAGAAGCTTTGTACGTAGGTCAGTAGATTTCGCTTAATATCATTTCTCATTTGTCAGAGGGAAACATGATATTAAACAGAACGTGACATAAAGAGAAAACATGTATTCTGACCTTTTCAGCTGTCAAAACCCGTAAGTGCCCACATTTAAATGTCCAAGTCATATGGTTTTCTGAAGTTTGTTTTGTAAAAAAATGTTTAACTGACACAGCTTTTTTCTTAAAATTTATTAAATTTATTTGATCATGTTCACAGAAACCATCTGAGCAGCAATTAAAGATGAGACTAACACATGCATTTCAATACACAAGTTATTTAGTTCTAACACAGATATATCAGACTTGAAACTGGTTGTCATACCGACAGGTGGACCTTACAATTAGGTGGGGTCGAGTTATTGTTAGGCAGTAGCAAATTTGTGAAAAAGACACTGTTAGGTCATGTCGTTGTTTATATAACACATCCAGGTGTGACACATGCAGATCCCAGGGACATAAACCATTGATTCTTACCAACATTTACCTCTGATTTATTGCGACAGTGGCAAAAATGAAGTGATATTTAGCGAAATTGACATAAAAACAAGTGATCATAGCAAAACTAAATTACATAGATTATATAGCAAAGGAAAAACAGTGCATCCAGAAAACAAGATAATAACCAAAAATTGACATTAAGCAATATGATATTATTGCACGATATTAAGTGAAATACTGTATTTAAGTTTACCAAATAAAAAACATATTCAAAATTATATGTAGTTTTTAAAATCATAGAATTAATTTGAAACCATCATATTTGAATAAATTTTGTTTTTTTAAATCTTTTAAAACTCCCCCCTCCCTGCTTTGTGCTGGATGACTAACCCCCCTGCATACGAGAAATCTGTGTGTTTGAGATCTTGTTGGTCTGTACAACAGGCGGTACAGGTTTGTGCGTCTGTCCGGTGGCCCGGTACACAGCCTGTACCCAGAGTGTCCGCTCATTTTCATCCTCTGCGGCAAATGTCACATTGTCCCCCTCCTTTACTGTGTTGAAGAAGTATCTCCCGCCTTCAACATCTGTCAAAAAGGTTGAAGTTGGAGCACATGTATCACATATATAGTCACACAATTCTTTGTCATGATCAACAAATATGTTCATGTCACAAAAGGTTTAGAATGAAATCACACCGATGTTTTTGGAATTTTATACAATTTTCCGGCAGTTTGACTGCAGATCACTAAACTCCCCTAAACACTTATTTATTGCGATTGTGTTTAAATCAGACAATTTGTGAGCATCAATTTTTCGATGGGAATAATAACAGATATGTATATATCTTTCAAAGTGTTGGAATGAACTGAATTAGTCATACCTTGGAGGGGTTCACAGTAGTCGACTGTAAATCCGTCGAGCTGCATCATCTCTGTGGGGTCTGGCTTTTTCTCCCGGTAACTACACATAGCAAATGTATACTGGGATACCTGTGAAAACATGTGCCAAAACATTGGTGTAAAACTTAAAACTTTCCTCCAAGATGTACTCGAAACAAAGACCAAGGCCCGTGTTCATGAAATCGTTCTCATGCTCAAGCATGGATTCTGTGCTCAAGCCAGCTTTCTTGTAACTCACCTTTATCATGTCAACCATCAAAAAGTCTAATTAAAATATTGAAAACAGTTTTCGGCTATAAGTCTCTTCAATTTTTGTCCAAAACTTTAACAAAATAAGATTTTTAAAATAATTTATAACTTGAACAAGAAATTAGGCTTGTGCCCAAAATCCATGCTTGAGCATGAGAATGGTGTCATGAATACGGACCCAATACTTCATACCTTTTCCTTTAACTGATAATCAAGAAGTTTTTAAATAGCATGAAAGGTTATAGTAGTTCACTACCTCCTATGGAGCCAAACTAAGCGTGTTCTATATTTTACCTGTACAAGAACAAAATATCTCTTCTTCCATTTCTTCCAGACAGTCTTTCCCACAGCATATAAATACCTACACAGAATAAAAACAGTTATAGTTTGTAATAATTTAAAACAAGATGATTAAAGGAACTGCGTCGTTCAAATGTTAATATGTCACATCTGAAGTTTAGAATTTCAAAGCAGGTCAAGTTCAAATGCATAAAACAAACTTGATAGCAAGCACACAAACTACAGGCTAAATATCACTATCCTTTACCGTATGGATTTTTGTTGGAAGATTTTAATTCTTTACTCAATATAATTCCAATGAAATAATTTATATATCCCCCTGATATATGGCATGGTAATTATATAGTGTTACCAGTCCACTAATTGTATAGCCAATTAATAGTTAGCTTCATTCAAGGAAATGACATAGAGTAGATTTCTTAGTAAAATGAGTTAAATGTTTTCTTTCATAGTGAATTTTTAAACATTTTTTTTCACCATTTGTTTGGTCAACAGTTTTCAACCATATTCTGTCTGACAACAAGTTATTCAAAATACTGACGAAGCTGTACCCAGTATTTTTTATCTCAGAAAACATGTTCTATTTATTTATTGTATTCTATCAGTCCACATATACTGCATGCCTCATTTACCACGATCTTCTAGGTTGTCACTTACCCACAATGCTTCATGTTCTGCGGTTTGTCCATCCTGACAGCGATTTTGATCTTGAGATCATCGGGACAGTTCTTGTTTGTCTGCATGCGGTACCATTCCGCCATGCGTCCACTATTGGCTGTTGGCCGGATTACAACCTGAGGATTAGCAGATTACAATCTATGGATTAACAGATTACAACCTTAGGATTAGCAGATTACAATCTATGGATTAACAGATTACAACCTGAGGATTAGCAGATTACAATCTATGGATTAACAGATTACAACCTGTGGATTAGCAGATTACAATCTATGGATTAACAGATTACAATCTATGGATTAACAGATTACGACATGTGGATTAGCAGATTACAATCTATGGATTAACATGTTACAACCTGTGGATCAACAGATTGCAACCTGTGGATTAGCGGACATGTGGATTAACAGATTACAACCTGTGGAATAACAGATTACGACCTGTAGATGAACAGATTATGACCTGTGAATTAACAAAGTAGAATTTGTATATTTTTGTTTTTCATCAAAGATCGATCTTAGTCTGCCCTTTGGTTTTACAAAAAGAACAGTTTCAGAAACTAAGGGTTAAATTTAGTAATAAGTCCATTTTCAAGCTGTGAATGTTTAGCTCAAAGATGTAAATAGCTCATCAACAGGACCCCAAGTCTGTAGGTGTTGGTGGATATTCTTAACAGGCTTCATGCTCAGCGGTTCAGTGACTAAGTCCTGCATCAGGCAAATTACAGTAAATTTCCTTTATCAAAACAAGATTTGTTTTAACAAGATCAGTTGGATGACGAGGTTAATGGTGAATCCACTACCAAATACCTGTCAATGTTTGAAGGAGCCCATCATTCTTTTTCAGTAATGAAGGTGGATGAACCAGACAACTGTTAGTGCACGGCTTACTGTACATAGTGTTTCCATTGTGAGGAGGGAAATTCAGTATTGACAAATATTGATTTTTCAGCTGAATGGTGATAATTTCACTCCACAACAACTTTATTGGGATACAGTAACTTGGAGTATGAACTAGGTGATATGTTACCATAGAGTATACCTGTGATTTGTGTTGGAATTTCTCATGTTGGTATATGCTAGAATATAAATTCTACCTGAATGTGCTAGAGAAAAAACTCCCTAAGGTGATATGCTACCATGCACATTATACCTTTGTTTTATGCTGGGAGTTACCTCCCTTATTCCTCTATGCTACTTTACTAATTATCTGTGATCTGTGTTAGAGTTATCTTCCTTCAGGTTATTTGATTCCATACAAATCATACCTCTGATCGAAGAATTATTTCACTTATTGTTACATGGTACTTCAGGTATTCAAATATGATTTGTGTTGGAGTTATTTCCCCTTTTTAAAAATATCTCCATCATGTGTAATAAATCAGAATGACTGATGTGTTATCATAGCATTGATGGTTGGATTTTACACGTTTTTAAGGTCGAATGAGTGTATTGATAAACGGAAATAGGAAGTACATCCCTAGTTGAAAATCCAATGTAGGGAGACAGTATTACATTTTCCACATATTTTAATGAGTCTAGAGTTGTGATGAATATTGTATGTTTATAAAATTCTGACAACCTTTTTTTTTTTTTGTGGCAGAAATTTTTCTTTTCTCCAAAGCAATATAAACACAAAATTTGAAGAAATTCTACAGAGAAATGGTGACACAAACCTATTACTTTAAGTATAGAACTCTTTTGAAAAAGAAATGGAATTCACAATAAGGTAGCATACACATCCTTAAACAGATCGTCCATAAAGGTAAGACCTTGTACCTTGCCGAGCTCCTTGTCCTCCAGACTGAGCATGCCCGAGCTCTCCGTGTACAGCTTCACTTTCACAATGGGCAGAGGATGGGTCGTCGTAAAGTCTCCCTGGGTGTCCCAACTAAAAGATATGTAATTGCCCAATTCAAATATTGTTCTGTACAAACTGATCAATATTTTATACAAAATTTAGTGGATTTTAAAACAAATTATCATGCAATACTGATTATCTCAAATAAAATGTCTAAGTTCAATACTTCTGTTTGCAATTGTGTATGTACAGAACAGCAGGATATTCCTATTTGGAGCACTTTCTCACAGAGAAAGCAAAAACATATTGTTGTAGAGTGATTTTTAATTTGGATCTCGGCTTTGGTGATATAATGTAATTTTCAAGTTGGTTTTCTCATAAAGATGTAGGGTATAGAATTATATATTTTTTGTACTTTTTAAAACTTGCTGGCTCTGTGCCTTCTGTTTGAGGTTCTAAAGTATCCCTGATATTGCCTTTGAATAAAGATCAGTGTTACTCTAAAGAACAAAAGGCCCATGGGCCTAAATGGTCATCCTGACTACAAAGTCTGAGCATGGAGAATGGTCACTTTTCAACTTTCAATGAAATATTCTAAGAATTTGTTTTCCATGATGGTACTTTTGGTCAGCAGTGGGTAACTATTTGTCAGTAAAGCTATCAGAAAGCATTTAAACTTAAATTTGAATAGATTTCTCCTTTTAAGGCCCCGTCCCGCTGACAACGGTGGTTAAACCTGCCTCATTTATATAAGAAATGATTGTTTCTAAATGAACAAAATTGTTTCTAAATTTCATACTGAAATTGTTGTAATCTACTTTTGGCATTAACAAGTAGTGTTTAAAAGCAGGATTTTAGGTAATTTCCTTCCTTGAGGGGCCGCCCTCTCTATCCCCCAGGTGTCGAACCAGCCTCATTTATTCAAGAAACGATTGTCCTCCCCCTCCTCCCCCCCACCCTAATGATATTTCAGACCATATTTGGTTGCAATATCCATTTAGGCATTAAGGAAGAGTAGCAGTATAAAGCAAATTTAAAGTCAAGTTCCACTTTCGAGGCCCCGAAACATCCCCAACAATTTTTAGCTCAATGGCATCAGTGGAACTGAAGAAGTTTAAAAAGTGTTTTTCATGATTTTTCAAGATAGGTTTAGAAGCCTCAGTCTGACCCTTTGTGACCTCTCACCTTGGTTTAGAAGCCTCAGCCTGACCCTTTGTGACCTCTAACCATGGTTTAGAAGCCTCAGCCTGACCCTTTGTGACCTCTAACCTTGGTTTAGAAGCCTCAGTCTGACCCTTTGTGACCTCTAACCTTGGTTTACAAACCTCAACCTAACCCTTTGTGACCTCTTACCTAAGTTGAGAAGCCACAGCCTGACCCTTTGTGACCTCCAACCTTGGTTTAGTAGCCTCAGTCTGATCCTTTGTGACCTCTTACCTTGGTTAAGAAGCCTCAGTCTGACCTTTTGTGACCTCTTACCTTGGTTTAGAAGCCTCAACCTAACCCTTTGTGACCTCTTACCTAGGTTTAGAAGCCTCAACATAACCCTTTGTGACCTCTAACCTTGGTTTAGAAGCCTCAGCCTGATCCTTTGTGACCTCTTACCTTGGTTAAGGAGCTTCAGTCTGACCTTTTGTGACCTCTAACCTTGGTTTAGAAGCCTCAACATAAGCCTTTGTGACCTCTTACCTAGGTTAAGAAGCCTCAACCTAACCCTTTGTGACCTCTAACCTTCATTCAGAAGCCTCAGCCTGATCCTTTGTGACCTCTTACCTTGGTTAAGAAGCCTCAGTCTGACCTTTTGTGACCTCTAACCTTGGTTTAGAAGCCTCAACCTAACCCTTTGTGACCTCTTTCCTAGGTTAAGAAACCTCAGCCTAACCCTTTGTGACCTCTTACATAGGTTTAGAAGCCTCAGTCTGACCCTTTTGTGACCTCTTACCTAGATTAAGAAGCCTCAGTCTGACCCTTTGTGACCTCTTACCTTGGTTTAGAAGCCTTAGCCTGACCCTTTGTGACCTCTTACCTAGGTTTAGAAGCCTCAGCCTGATCAGTCTGTAGTTTCTCCCCTCCTTCCACTTCCATGGTACAGTAGACAATCTTACTGTTGGCCAGCGAGCGGAGACCTTTGACCTCTACAACATGTACCTGTAAAACAAAGGTCACCTTCAACACAATTGTCATCAACGTCATCCTTTTTATTGATTTAGTTACTGACTTGCCTCTTTACGTACATAGTGGTCTGGATTAAATGGATTTTAGAGTCAGTTCAGGGTTCATATTATAAAAGTAGCAACAGCATCTATGATCAAAATCTGAAGAAACCATGTACCATGAAAACACGAAATATTTTACAACTACTTTAACGGATCACAGAACATGTTACACTTCAGATCATTTTCAACAGATACAACAGGAAATGTCAGAGCTACTTATATCCTAAACTTTAACATTCAGCTCTCGACCTCAAAATACCAGCAATCACATCAAAACACATAATCTACAGGTAATCAATTTTTCTTTAATTGAAACCCAGTGATGTGTATCCTCAGGGTTCCCTATCATCCTTGACAGCATCCACTAACAATAACCTTATAGATGTATCAGCTAAATATATGTCGCCTTGGTAAAACACAAGCCGCTTCCTACCGACTCGGCTAGGGAAAATTTCTCTTTAACTCATTCGGTAGAGCGCAGGAGGTCCCTGGTTCGACTCCTAGTGGAGGCATTGAAATACATAAATAAAATTATGAACATCATCCACCGACAAAGTTAGGGTGGATCACTTGTACTATATTTCAGTGAAGGATGACGGGTACCTTTTCCACCATATTGGGAAAAGTACAATGTAACATGTAAAATGAAAATAAAAAGCCGTTATTCGCTATACCTGTAGTAAAATATGTAAAATTACTGCTTATTACAAGCTTAAGAATATTCAATGTCTGCGATTTGGGACACCACATCAGATCAATGGAGATTAAGTCAGGTTTTATTAGCTCAGTAAGTTAGATTCTGTGCTGTAGTAATATTATCTAAAATAAAAGATTTCAAAAATATCTTATAAATCACACTGTAATCTCCAGAGAATTGACATAGCATAGTTACTGACTGGAAGGTCTAAAATTCAAATCATTGGTGAACATCACTTTGTCCTTTAACACTTTACTGTGATTGCTCCAGTCTACTCAGCTGTATAAAGAGGTAGGATGGGAGATTAGCATCCTCTGAGGAAAGAGTCACCCATCATAAGAAACTTTACACTGTGGTAACCTTAATTTAAATCTTGCATTGATCAGAAGAAGATAAAACAGTACCCTTTTTTGAGTGGGAACAAATTTTAATACAAAAGAATTACGATAATGTTAAAACTGACCTCGAGCGTGAACGACAGAACAACGTCTAGTTTGGAGAGACCAGGTTCTGTGTCGTCAGAAATATCCATCTTGGACAGTGAGGAAGGATGTGTCCTGAAAATACAACAAATATTATAATGATATGATGTCAATGGTGTTTGTCCTGGCAATATTTATGAGATTCTGGGAGTATCAATTCTCACACAAACTTGTATACATCCACTGAAGATGTTTAACTCTTCATCAAAGATAAATATTCCTCAATTCACTAAAATACTGGGTGAATTAAAAGCTTTTTTACCAAACAAAACTCTCAGATATTTTGAAAAATTTCATTTTTTTTGTTGAAGAAATGAAAATGAGGGAAATATTATACATGTACATATGTATTAGCATTTTATGCTGAATTACGGTGATCTTAAATTTTATTTTCTGAACTTAGTTTAGAAGAAATGCTTAGGCTTAGCGTATTGTGTTTAATTGAGAGAAAATATTAAAGCTTCTGTGCTGTTTTTAGTCTTCTAAATCTATGTATAACACTAAACTTAATATATTCCAAGCACTAAGACTATTTGACTGTTAATTTGTGACAAAACTATATAGTATGCTAAGCTGGGGTGCAATAAAGACCGCAATATCTTGATACTTTTTTGACAATTTTCTTAAAGTACATTCATGAGGAATTTGAATTTAAATGGATTCGCTTCATAAATAAGAGTGATAAAACAGGAAATGTCTTGAAGACATGAACAGCCCTCTTTGATCATTGAAAATAGTTTCTTTGATGAAATTTTTCTACCAACAGAAATTTTGACCTTGACCTTGGCACCCTGAAATTTGAATATATCATATACATTCTCATACTTGAAAGTTAATAAAAAATCTGTTAAGAAATAATCACTGAGTGATGCCATTGATTTCATTGATGATTTTACATTAATATAAACCCAGTTCTGTGACCTTGGCCTCGACCTTGAAACCCTGATATAAACTCATTCAAGATATTCTCAGACATGTCATTGTATAAAATGATCAAAATCAATTAAAATATGAAGTCACTTGTACGATATGGCTGATTTGAATGATGGAGATGGGTAATACTACATCCCCCACCCGCTTAAAAATGGAGGGGTAGGATATTTTTTCGATACATTTCAGTGTATTACCATAAAGCAGTTAGGTTAACTCTAAAATGTACCGGTGTATCATTTCTGTTTTACCATACATAGTAAAGTTTCCTCTGACAGGTACGTACCGGTGTATCATTTCTGTTTTACCATACTTAGTAAAGTTTCCTCTGACAGGTACCGGTGTATCATTTGTTTTACCATACTTAGTAAAGTTTCCTCTGACAGATACCGATGTATCATTTCTGTTTTACCATACTTAGTTAAGTTTCCTCTGACAGGTACCGGTGTATCATTTCTGTTTTACCATACCTAGTTAAGTTTCCTCTGACAGGTACCGATGTATCATTTCAAATGACTAGCGATAATACAAAATAATATATGTCGTAACGGTAGAAATCAAGATTATTTATACATTCAGAGAGTTTTAAAGATCAATATCTTTCTCGACTTAATCATATTAATGCTACATCAATCTACTTATGAGATAGAAACCACAGCAGATACAGCTGAGAAGTAAAAGGCATAAATACATATTCTTTGAATACATCTCGTAAATCAAAGTTTTCCTGAAGTGCACCTTAGAGCGAAGCTAGTACATTGAAACCTTGTTTATCCTGTCTCCATCAGGAAGTTCAGTAAATTTGACACAGATTAATTATGCAGTTTGATAACTCACTTTCCTGAGGCAAATATTGTGAATAGAAAGCAATGAATTGTTATTTCCTCATTTCATCAGACAGGAAATACTATTTGAAAAACAACAACTTCAAATCTATGAATATATGAGGTTCAGTACATAATTATTGATTTTTCCAGAGCACGAGAAATCAGGATTACTTCTTAATCAGAAGAAGTAGAAAATAGCTAATAGGATTTGCAAGTCATTTAGTGTATGTGGTAACAACTGTTGATATTCCCAATATTCAAGAACATGGAAATTGATTTTATTTCTGTTTCTGCAATCCGGAATCCACTAGTCTGCTAACAATCAGTCTCTGTCTATAATGAGGGATAAAATTAATCTGAGTGGCCCCGTCCGAAACAATCAGGGAATCTCCCATCAGAAGCTTAATGTGGTAGCCAACAGATGGACACGCATTACGGAGTCCACCTTTCCTATATTACTCCGACACACGAAGTGGCAAATGGGACAAAATAATGTCAAACCGGAGATAATTTAAAACATTTCCAATCCAGAAACCTATTCTCAAACTCTGAGATTTACAATGCAATCGGCATTTGAACCTTCGAAAATAATCAGAATTCCTTGAGTTGGTAAATGTATTTTGTGATAAATGACAGTTTTTGAAAAGACTTTCTTGGTTAATGTATGCCGTAAAAACAGACTTTTGATTAATTGCCCGTCGGAGAGGATTATAACGGCATTCTACCACAACACAGATACTTGTCTGCTCAGTGTGACGCAGCACCCTCAGGTCCCCTACACTTCCAATATTTTATCTCTAACATGAATGCAATGAAATACACGACACATTTACGTCAGCTTTGCCCGATATCTTAAGTTTAGGACAGAACAGATATTGATTTCCGTCACAGCATTTTAAATATCTGAAAGTGAAACATCTTTTAACATCTGCGATCCAAATTTGATATCAGCAGGATTCTGTGTTCTCCTCGACAAATTTGATACAAGAGGCCCAGAAGGCCTGTATCGCTCACCTGGATACCAAAGCAATCATGGCAAAATATTCTCCGAATGAGATCAAGGGAATATGCCAGACCCCAAGGCCAATCCTTGTAGCATATCTGTATTAGATTCTTCATGCCCAGCAATTTTATGTATGGTTATGGGGTGGGGATCTCAACTGTTTCCAAGCTTTGACTCAGAAACTAGGTCCCTAGGGTTGTGGCCAGACCCCAGGATCAATTCTAATATCGTGACTGCATTTGTCTCTTTTTGCCCAGCATTTGTATATATAGTTTTGGGGTGGGGATCTCAACCATTTCAAAGTTATGACCCAGGGGTTAAGTCTGCAAGGGTGGGGCAGACCCTGGGGTCAATTCTAATATCATGACTGCATTCGTCTTTTTATGCCCAACAATTGTATATATAGTTTTGGGGTGGGGATCTAAACCATTTCGAAGTTATGACCCAGGGGTTAAGTCTCCAAGGGTGGGGCAGTCCCCAAGGCCATCCTGGAAGCATATGTGCAATCATCTCTTTATACTCAGCAATTGTATATACCGTTATAGGGTGGGGCTCTCAACTGTTTCCAAGCTGTGACTAACAAACTAGGTCCCTAGGGGTTCGGTCAGACCCCAGGGTCTATTCTGATATCATGACTGCATTCGTCTTTTTATGCCCAGCATTTGTATATATAGTTTTGGGGTGGGGATCTCAACAGTTTTAAAGTTATGGCCCAGGGACTATGTCTCCAAGGGTGGGGCCAGACCCTATAGCCATCCTGGAAGCAAATGTGCATTCTTCTCTTTATACTCAGCAATTGTATACCATGGTTATATGGTGGGGATCTCAACCATTTCCAAGTAATACACTTTTTTTGGCCCCACCCCTTAGCCCGGGGGGTCAGCCCCACCATTTGTATAATTTTGAATCCCTGCCTCCCATGAATGCTTCCGACCAAATATGATTGATATCCATGGCATAGTTCTACAGTAGAAGTCGTTTATAGCAATATAGCCAAATTGCCCCCTTTTTGGCCCCGCCCTCAGCCCCACCATTTGTATGAATCCCCACCACCTAGGGATGCTTCCAGTCAAATATGGTTGATATCCACCTCTTAGTTCCAGAGAAGAAGTCGCTTATAGCAATATTGCAAAATTGACCCCTTTTTGCCCCGCCTCTCAGCCCCCTGGGGGGTCAGCTCCATCATTTGTACAATTTTGAATCCCTGACACCTAGGGATGCTTCCAATTAAATATGGTTGACATCGACTTCTTATTTCCAGAGAAGAAGTCGCTTAAAGCAATATAGCCAAATTGACTCCTTTTGGCCCCGCCCCTCAGCCCCCTGGGGGGTCAGCCCAACCATTTGTACAATTTTGAATCCCCACCACCTAGGGATGCTTCCAGTTAAATATGGTTGATATCCACTTCTTAGTTCCAGAGAAGAAGTCGCTTAAAGCAATATTGCAAAATTGACCCCTTTTGGCCCCGCCCCTCAGCCCCCTGGGGGGTCAGCCCCACCATTTGTACAATTTTGAATCCCCACCACCTAGGGATGCTTCAAGTCAAATTTAGTTGAATTCCAATCAGTGGTTAAGAAGAAGAAGACATTTAAAGAAATTGTTGACGTACGGATGCAACGGTATGGCATAAGCTCACCTTGGTCCTTCGGACCAGGTGAGCTAATACATAATAAGCAGGATTCTGTGTCCTCTTCGCCTATCAGCTGTCTGTTGATAGCGTTTATAACCCAGAATGTTGGTGGAATCTTGTTTACATCAATGTTTCTGTTACTGATCTTAAACTACAGATTGGTAATGTAATTTGAGACTGCATCATGTTTCAAGATCAAACAATACACTCAGCTCACCACGAAGACCATATATATAAAACCACTATCACTTAGTATGTCAATGTCAAGCTCAAGCTTCAACAAATGTACAGAAATATTTTTTCCAAACACTAATAACATGTATCGTAATTTTGAAGCTCTAACAAACTGTATTAATAATCATGGGCAATAACTCTTTAACAAGAGGCCTGTGGGCCTTAACGGTCACCTGACATATTTATACAAAGTTTATTTTGTTTTTAACATGAACAGAAATATTATTCAAAGTGACAAAAAACAATAAAACCATCTTATTCAATATCTAGCATACAGATTTAAGACTAAAAAGTATTTGAAACTAGCACCTCTGATTCTAAACAAGGAAAATGAAGAAATTTTAGCACACCGACTCCTTTGGACCCCTCCCTATAGCCCTTGGGGGTAGGGCTGGCTCAAAATTTTCAAAGTATCAAACTGTCAACTCAGGGTTATAATTCCAATCATGT